AAGACTGGGAGCTGATAAACATTTGCATCAGAGCGGTGCTCACCTTCACTGTCTGACTCGCTACACACTGTCCGCCACTGTTTACGAAGGTCCTCAGCGAGTTGTCTCTGGTGTCTTCGCAGGCTACGAGTTTTCTTTGGCCGGTCTGACTCGTCCTCCGTAAAAAGGCTTGGTGTCTCTGACAAAAGCCGCTGCGGTTTATGTCCAGATTTGGAACAATACGTGCCCCGTCGTGAGCTCTCTGTCAGGGAGCGTTCAAGCCGTTCAATGTCCCTGGAAATTCCGTCGATGGCTTCGGCGATGCTCCGTGTGGACGCCATGGGACTTGCCATCAGCTTCAGCGTCAGTGGAAATCATCCTAGAAAATCCCACCGCTGCCACCAAATGTAGCGTACACCTGGGTGATCTTGTCCCTCAAAACCCGGTAACGTAAAGGAGGGGGACAGATACAGGACTTCCAACAAAGAATTTATTTGTCTTCATCCACCAAACTCGGTGCACGACCCTCCAAAACGGCCGTCAGAACAACAACAACTGCTTACGTGACACTTGAGCTCTACGAAAACACAGCGTATCACAATGTATAACAATTTCTATGGCCGCCCTGGCACTTTTCCAATTTCCCTCCCGCGCCCACCAAACCACAACGCCCCAAAATAGAACCCAATTTCCGGTGCGGACCCAGCACAAGAGAAACGGGTCAGGGCACTCTGCCAGAGGCCCTCCGCCGGCGGCCCTCAGCGCCGCCGGCGGCGTACGAAAGATTAACGTGGCAATAAAACATGAAAAAGGCTATACAATTGTCCGTTACAATAATAATAACATGAAACTGTAGTCCATTTAAAAAAATAAATGAACATTTTTGCCAAGGCAAGTCATGTGCGGCATTTTGTCTTTACTGCAGCATTGGTGAAAAGGCCAGTCTAGGTCAGGTTCAAAGAATCCGAATAGTGACCCTCCATCAAGAGGGTTAGCTACTCTGAACGTCAAATTAGCAAGAGGATTAGTTGCAGCAAGTTTAACACTGCTGTGCACAATTAAGATGCCATTTCAAATTGTCACAGAGATGGCTCATTTTCTGACCAGAAAAGGCACGGTCGTCCAAGAAAATCTACCCCTCGTGAAGACCATTTGATCCGGCGAATTGTGAGGGATCCCTCGGGTTCTCGAGATCAAAGCAGCTTTGCAGTCCACTGGGGCAAATGTTAGTGTAGGAACCATTTCTCGCCGTTAGAGCAAAGAATCTTGGCTTATTAGGTCACACAAACCTGCTGCCCGTTTTTCCTTCTCACCAAGGTGGCAACGGCTCAGTTTTGCCAGGAAACATGAGTCTTGAACTGCAAAAGACCGGACGAAAGTTTCGTTTTCAGATGAATCAATGTGCAACAATTTGTATCACGCAAAGCCCATGTCTGAAGACCTAGTGAAAAGAGATTTGATGCACGATACACACTGAGTTGCGACCGTGAAACATCCCGCAAGCCAGATGATATTGCTTCCATGTCCCATGCTGGAACATCTGGTCTGTTCTTCCTATCACCCAACCACCATGAACGGTCCAAAATATGTCACACTTTTACAGGATCAGCTGAAAACTTGTGTAGATGCCCCCAAATGCAAAATATTCACGCACGATGATGCTCCATGCCACTAGTCCTGTCAGGTCCAAGGTGGGTAAGGACTTCTTGTCAAGGAATAAAGTCAAAGTTCTTCACTGGCCGTGGAATAGTCCTGATTTCAATTCAATCGAAAATCTCTGGAAGGTACGTTGTGAAAGACAAGGTTGCTGACCAACAGCCATCAAATGCCAAGGGATTAGTGCACTTGGAAGCCATTAATTTAAACAGTTCTTGGAGAAGGAAACCTCGCTGGACTACTGTCATTCTCTCATCTCCAGCATGCTACAGTGCATTTATCAGAAACAGTTGAAGGCACACTAAATAACCAGACTGTTAACATTTCAAGTCATGGAAATGCAGTCAAATAGCAATTCAAGCAAGACACTAATATTACACATTGACAATAATTGCAAGTTTCAAAGATTTATTTGCTAAAGTTTTCCTTCGAGTTACTGCATTTTGTGAGGGTGGTTTTAAACTTTTGCAAATGACTATAGTTAGGAAAAGCTTACTGATCTTACATTCTGTATAAATATCACTCTGACTGGTGACATGCCCATGCCAGAAACGTAGACAGCAGAGCCTTGATTTCTTCCATTCTACCGCTTTATTTCCAGTCTCCTACCTTTAAAAAGCAGCCTTTACTTTCTGCTGACAGGCGTACAGGCCTGCATGTGGTAGGAATGCATTTTCTGATGGAGTAGCAAAAACCCGTATATGGAATAACATTATTCTCGAGGTTTCTGAAGTGTTTTTTTTTTCCTGCTAGTAAAGAGCAGAATTTCACTGAGACGGTCAAAAAGGGGCCAGCTGCCTTCTCCATCTCAGGGCAGCGCTAATATAAGCCGATCATGTTTTAACAGCAAAAGGTGAGCAACCAAAGTTTTCTATGATCCTTTACGAAAACCACAATGCAGCCTTTTTGATTAACTTGAACAGATAGTGGCAGTAAAGCTATCTATACATTGCGCGGAACGTTTTTTTCAAGGTTTTTTTTGCCATGCTTAATAAGGAACCATCACGGCATAACCGAGCATACATGTAAGCTGAAGGCAAGGGGTCTATGTAGAGCTTTAGGGGGGTCAATTGGAACAGTAGAAAAACGAACGTGTCCACTTTTCGGCATGCATAGCTGGCGACTGGTGAAATAAATTGCCGTAGTTCGTACGTGTTTGCCGGCTCTAAGTTGTACAGAGACAGACCAAAGTACGTGACATTTAATCAATGCAATGACAATTTCTTTATCCTGAGAGCCAACCTCATTTATCCCCTTCCCTGCTTTCCTTATTAAAAAAAAACCCCATAAACACACGCAATACACCCACACCCAAGAAGCCTCATAACATTATACCTTTTGCATTCCTTGTGTGTTAGAGGATAAACAAGGGAATGTACAAATAAAGCTCACTGTCCGGCCCCCGTTGAAGACAGCAAGTTAATTATGTACAATGATACAATAAGCGTGAGCTGTAAAATAATTTACCCCGTAGAACTGCAATGTAGAAACTGGCCCCCTCCATGTAGGCCTTCTGACGTCAAAGCAAGTCAATAAAACAGCTGCTTTTCCAAAATAACGAAGAATTTGTCATTCTTTTTGGAGGATATTCTAGAATTTCCAAATAATGTTATAACTGCCTGAGAATATTTCTAGGTTTGAGAATATTTCTATTTCCTTACACATTTCATTTCCTCAAAAATTCCTTCGAAAGCAACAAATTTCCTTGGAAGTGGAAGCACTGCATTTAATGCTTTATTTTAAAGCATTCCTTCCTCCAGAGTTTGAAACAGTAGCCTTGGCAACGATTATGGGTGCATTCCACCAAATAGTTGAATTTCTGGGCGCGAACTCATCCCACTTTTTTTTACAATAAGACATGCCATAACCAGGAGGCATCATAGAAATAATATTTCTATAAATCCCCAATTTGGGACTGATACATGTAGTTTCCAGTTCAGGGTATTTCTTTCACAAAAAGCCCAAAATTGCGGGCCTATTTCTGATAGAGGCGGGCGGCTTAGTTTTACTGCTGTTTTGGGGGTATCTTCCTTGAAAGGAGAATAAAAAAAAATTTCGTGGCTAACCCCCATGAAATTGAAACGAAAAGTGATCTTCTGGCCCTAATCTTGAATTTCCATTAAAAAATAAAAACGGAGGCCAACCTCTTCACGAAAGTCAACAGGCGGCGCTATTTCGGTCCGATTTTGCACTGATTTCTATGAGAGCGTACTTGGTGTAGTGCAACCTTATGGGTACAGTCCACTAATTCAAGCCCCATTGAAAACAGTGCAAAACCAGCACTGTGCAGGGCTCAATAACATGCACGCCAACACAAATGAAATTCTTGTCTGGTCACTTATCTTTCAATTTCTTTTCATTTTTTTGTGGGTTAACAAATTACATTTTTAATTATTCCCACAAAACAAAATAACCCCCCAAAAGTNAGTTTTTAGCCATTCTGCTCTCATATGAAAGCTCAAAGACCCAGGGAGTTGATCCTGGCAAGGATTTACACAATCTCACCATTTTGGGGGCCAAACAATCTCCTTTTTCAAAAGATACTATGGGGGCACTTTTAATGCTTATGAGCTGGCCAGAAACTCTCACTTGAAGCATGGCCATGCTTGAAGTATAGTGGTCTGCACCCTTATGGTCTGATGAGTGATGGTCGTTCGAAGTTCCCGGAGATTGTGTGTGAGCGCCCTCTATCGATGATATGTCGCACAATTAATGACAACGTACATAATGCAATGATTGATACGGGCAATGCGCTGGGGTTTCCACACTATTGCACAACAATATTTATTAGTGTTTTTTGCTAGATATAAAAATAACCGATCAGAAGTGCACATTGGAACATCACGAAAAGCAGCGTGAGAGTAGGCAGTGTTGCAAATGTATGCTTGGGTAAGTGAAGCCGTCGTGTCTCGTATCAATTTATCATGAGCTGGACTGAGCATGGAGGTAGTGGACTGAGTCATAGTGCTGTACCTGAGTCGTAGTCATGACCGGACGGAAGAAGGACCACCTGCTTGGCCCCGTTCTAGCCCCACTAGTGTGGCACGTACTCTCACCCCCACTCCATCCTACGGTTTCTCCGCATCCGTATACGCAATTTCGTGTCGGCGTACGGACCATTTTCGGCTAAGAATCATCTCTGTGTGTAAAAGAAATTGCGCCCACGATGATAGGTGGGTGCGCCGAAAATGTTCAGTACGCCGACACGAAATTGTGTATACGGATGCGGGGAAACCGTAGGATGGAGTGGGGGTGAGAGTCCGTGCCACACTAGTGGGGCTAGGCTCCGTTCCTACTACATGTCTAACTTATAAGGGAGACCTAGCCTATAGTTCAACTTTGATGTTCATTACCTTTAGCACCCTGTTCCTTCAAGGGAACCATTACTCAATCCTGATAGCCTACATGCCATAGCCTAATTTTGACAATGTTTAAGCAAGAAAACCACAAACTTCTAATCTGAGTTTGGCGAAAGACAAGGCCTACTCAGTGGGATCACACTGTTTTGTTTTTCGTCTGGTTACCGGGCCCAACTCGGGTATTTTTGAGTCATCAAAACAAATCTTCATCTGGGTCAAGGAACCAGCTACCGGTACAGACTACATTCGTTAATTTGTCGTCGTTCACATCTCTTCGGCACGTATAGGGCAGTCATGTACACTTCAGTTACTCAAAATTTCCCTCAAAAGCCAAAACTCCCCAAAAGCCCTGTTCTGTTTTCTTTCTCATATAAAAGAGGACATCACCAACAACTTGTTTAGATAAGTTGTTTCATAAAAGTAGAATTTGTTCTTTTTTATAGGAACAGGGTGCTAAAGGTAATGAACACCTAACTTTTGGCTTCACCTTGGTAAATGACTATGACATCATGCTCAATAACTGTAGAGTTGATTTTGTGAAAAGTGGGCTGGGTTTTTAGGGAAATTATGAGGGGAAACTGAGTGTTTCCATGGTTTTAGGCCTGACAGTAGGTATGTGGCAAAAAAATCCAAAGTTGTTAAATTCCACTGCAATATATACCGTTGCAAAGGTCTTGCAAAAAGCTTTCCAGTGACACCAAAATGACCCTCCTCAGACAAAAAATAAGAAAGTTTTTGCGAAAAAGAGACATGAGTTGGGGCCATAATTTTGTCTTGTACAGGCAGTGCCAATAGGAATACGCAGAATGGATTGTGACCAAAAGAAATATTCCTTTTAGGTTTTAAAAAGCATGATAGAATTAGTAAAAAAAATCAATTTGGAAAAAAAAGATTTAAAAAAAGAAAAAAATCATTTAAAATCTTTACAAAATAAATAAATATTATGGCCTTATAATTCCCTCAAAATCCATGTCCATTGAAAATCAGAAAAACAAGTCAGCTGAGAAGAGCAGATGACACTCATAGCCAATCAGGAAGTGGTATTAAGGTCACATGACTCACAATTAACGTACAGCTTCATTTTCCCAATTTTACAATGATACAATTTTTTCCATCTTCAAACATCAATATTGAAACTCATTTCCAATAAAAATTTATCGTAAATATAAACATCCTTAAGAAGATCCATTAACCCTAACACTCCTCAATCCTCCAACAGGTGAAGGATTGAGGAGTGTTAGGGTTAAATTTAATCAGAAGCAATAAAAACAATAATATCATTGCCATAATTGCAGCGAAAATCATTCTGAAAATCGTATCACATAGGTGTAAAGCTGAGATCACACGTCCTGCGGGCCAAAAAAGCCATGTCGCATGATAAAATCTGGTCAACGTAAAAAATAATCTAATAATCATACAGTTACAGCAAAGAGAACAAGTAAAGTCATCTTTGATAAAAATCACCAAAGGATTTGATGACCGTACTGATTGATATTTGACCCGGTTTAGAAGAGTTTCTGGACAATATAAAATGGCCAATCTGTAATCAAACCTGTGTATTTCATAGAAAAAAGGGGTTCTGCGTAATGTTGGTTATTTTCAGACATGGGGAAAAACCAACACGGCCGCACCGGAGCTTTAAAATCGGACTGGTGAAAAAAACCGAAAGCGAGGCTGAGTACAAAATTGTTAGTGCTGTTCAATGATGTTTGCCACATACCTATTAACAGTAACACATGATACATGGTGGATTAAAATTTGCTTGGTTGGTTTATCAGTAGGTACATCTAGGCCCATAGAGCTCCATGGTAGGCCTAACGTTAAGTCACATTTTCTCACAATTTAGGGCCTACAATTCGAAATTTAAAAAAAAAAGTCAGTGCAATAAAGAGAGCGTTGCCTTCATGTTTTGGGAGAGGGGACTGACCAGTTTTACAAGATTAAAGTGACAAAAAACTGGGGGTCCTCAAATATGCAATCCCCTGAATCTCTTCTGTCTTTCATACTTAAATGAACGTTAAGTGTTTCCGTGTAACCTTGAATCTTTTGCAAATTGTACTCCCTCCTGAGTTGATCATGAACAAGATGAATGAATTTAATTTAAGAGGCAAATCAACTGAGGGAAAGGATGAAGAAGGCCCACTTTTTGCATAAGAGTCAAGATTGCGCTGAACAACTGTGACAACTCCAGCCCTAAAGTTTTATGCGGAAAAAATTCCTGACACAGAATCCACTCATTTTTACTTAACAGCCAACTGAAAGCAATCACATGACCTAAAAGTCAGAGTTTACTGGGAAAATATAGAATTGTTCATGTAGAAATTAGAATTTTTCAGCCCAGTATCATACAAGGGGCGTATGTCATTTCTGATATCGAACTCTTTCTTTTGTATATCGTTGATGTACCTTAACATGGCATATGAAGGGTAAAGTTCCAGTATTTATCCAAATGAATTGAGTTTTTCAAATAAAGGGTTTGGCAACAGTGTACGAGGAAAGTCAAGTGAAAGTCAAAATGCACCTCATTAGGGGACTCTATTTCTAGACTACTTATACCTCTGTTTACCCATTATGAGTGTCATAATGTCAACCTACATGTACATGTACATATTTGTACATGTTTACCCATTATGAGTGTCATAATGTCAACCTTCATGTCCATATTTGTGAGTGCCAAACACAAACATTTTTAGCCTGTAGTATTTGTTGAACCTACATGTATGTCCCTAGGTATTAAAGCCCCTTTGCTTGCTGAAATGCTCCTCGCCACTTTTTTACGTTGTTGTCATTTATAACAATCAAAATGTGTGATGTCAGCAAACTCGTTTTTCATTATTTTTTCTGTTACAGTCACGACAGTGTTGGGTGTTTTATGATAGTCAGAAAAGAAAGTTCAAAATCACTTCAATATTAACCAGTTTTAACCATGAAGTTATGCAAAATGTTTTGGTTGTGTTGCAGCTAATTGTTGAAAAGGAGCATGAAAATGTGAAATGTTAGTTTCACCTGTTACATGTACTAGTACTGTACGTGTGTGTAATCAACATTTATCACTTTTTTGATTTTCATTTTAGGAAACAGACTCAAATACAGCCCTGTAAAATATTTGGCATTTGAGTAAACCAACTGGCTTAATTTTGCAAAAAGCACTTTCCACTGTCAAGTTACACAGAATTAGGCCTGGTTTTGTTTACTCAGATGCAAGACGTTGTTACAATATGAGATACCAGTATTTGCTCATAGGTTTGTTTTTTTTGTACAGATTCAGTTGAAAACAGTAACACTGTAGCAGGGCTTGACTCAACAATGTCTGATTATACAAATATAAACACCGCCAACGAGCCATCACAGCAAAACTGCAGCGGAGTAGCAGTGGCAGATGGTTTTTGTCCCACTGACATTCAGATACCAGCAGGACCTGATGATGATGCTGTTGAAATACCCAAGGGTACAGGTAGCGCTAGCAAGCAGAAACTTTGCTGCAAGTGCCGATGTCTGTTCCCCAGTGCCTCGGTTGCAGAGTACAAGGAGACATTGAAGCAGCTCGCCTTGCTGTCGTGGCCTGTGGTAAGGTGCTCGATAACCCCTGCACTACGATGCTGTAAATAGGGAGCATCTTTCTGGTTTTTGATTGTTTGGACCCCACAAGTGTAGCCAAAGAATGTGCTAAGTGGCTATATTTGGATGGAGATTTTTGGGACGCTTGTCAAGCTGAGTGTGCATGCTGCTCAAGAAAACTCGAGATAGCAAAAATGGGCTAAATGGGGCAAAATATTCTGTGTTGCAGTGGTCAAATGAAACACTAGCCTGTTTGACCTTCAGATGACCATAACAACCAAAAGTGGTCAGAACTAAAATGCCTGTAGTGACCACTGGCAGGCAGCATTTCCCACACTTTTGTTGTAGGTTTTCAGCAAAGCATGAAGGTTTGAGGTTTTCAAATCAGTTTTGTTAATACATGTACATCTCTTAGGAGTGTGTTTCTTTGTAAGCTGCTTTGCGTAGTAATTTGACATGAAGTAAACGTCACAGACTTTGTATTGTGTATGATGGGAAATGCACCGGACATAATTAGAAAGACTTCAGAATTTGGATGAATGTGGTGTAAAACAGACTAAGTTGGAATTTTAAGTAAGATTCTCAGTTGCTGTAAGAATGATCTGTGTTTATGGATAAAAATGTGACTATATTTTTGCGATCTCTTCTATTACCCACAGATGTTGTATCTGGTAACATCTCTTCTTCTGTCAATGACGTCCATTATCTTCTCAGGGCACCTTGGAAAAGATGAAATCGTAGCATCTTCTCTGGGACAGTCGGTACTGTTGTCCCTTAACTTGCTTATGAGTAATAATTTGCAAGTCTAATTAGCAGCATAACTTGGGTGAAATTTCTTAGGAGCACCAGGAGGAAGAGCTGGTGGGCACTGTCTTCCCTTCCCTCTCCCTTCCCCCAAGTTCCCCTCCCCATTTGATCATTGTGTCAAATGTTTATCCTTAATGATGTTGGAAGACAGTTTCAGAACCATGCAGATTTAATTGTGTTAGTATCCAAAACGATTCCCTTCCCAAACCATTCCCTTGAGTACCACTAATGTCATAATCCTACTACGTGTACTCTGTTCTTTTCATAAAAACTCTCAGTCCATGATATCACAAAGCAGCTGTTTTGGAAAATCCAGTGGAGCAAATCATTGAAATGGCTCGCTCGGCTTCACCCTGGACAAAATACACCCTCCGGGATCCAAAATGCATGTGTATTATACAATGAACGGTGCAGATGATAATTCTGTATAATTGAATTTTTTTTATCTTCCAGGTTATCCATGTATTCTGGAGAGCACTCATGTTTGGGTTTGCAAACGGAGCTGATACATTGTTTTCACAGGTGACTTTTGACCTCTCACCCTTGGACCCCTTAATGTACCGGTAATCTGTGCAGTTGAAACAGAATGTCAGTAATAATAGGTCACCGTGAGGTGGTTGATATTTTGACATGCTGTGCAAGAGTATTCATAAATATCTGCCCCGTTGAAGTAGTCTTAAATATGAGTAAGACGTTCTTAATGCTATGCTGAACTATTACGCATCTCAAACCAGTGGAAGCACAGAATACACTGTTGTGCAAAGGTTGACAAAAGGCTGACCTAGAGCGTCTGTGGTTTAGTAATCATGCATGGCTTTGAATCACTGTACTATGTACATGTATGTACATGTACGTGTGTATTCCCATGCTTTCACAATCAAATCTTGCACAGCAACTCCTCTGTATTGTCAGTATGTGAAATGCTTTGATTATTGACGTGTGTTTTCTATTTGTGGATTTATGTCTACCACACACTCACGCACTGGATGTCTGCAGTCTTGATTTGGTGGGGTGTAAGGTGGACCAGTTGAGCTCGAAACATGTCGTCTAGGGGATAAATGTGGGAGAGGGGATGCATCGTATCACGAATCACTGTTATGGTGCATTTAGAAGCCTTGTTTGCTCTTTGGAAATTTGATTTGCCTGGAATACAAACAGTTCACAATACAGGACATCACCTGAAGGTTACCAGAGCCTGGGCATTTGTTTGTTGCACAATGTACATGTGGGAAAAAGAGCATGATCGCCATTCTAGACAGAATAAAAATGGCCTGTGTGTGTTTGTGAAATGTTCAAATGCATGTACACTGCACGTGTATGTGGTAGCAGGCATTCACGATAACACATAATTAAATGCAGGATGTAACACAGAAGGTATTTGTGCAAAATGAAACAGAACTCATCAGCAAAACACTCAGGGCAAAGGTTAATCTGAAGTTTTCTAGTATCAGGAAAGAAAGAAAATTCTCCATTTTAATATCGTTTGCTATGCTGCAAGACAGTCTATTAATGACTTCATGCTATTTAAATTTATCAACATTTGCACTTTACAATTTTCTCCACTTTTGCTTGTGCACGGTTCCACCTTATTTTGCCATTAAAGTCTACAAAATGTTAATGAGGATTTTAAATTTAAAGTATTGATCTGTGAAATCTGCCGGACAGCACACTTTCCTTGATGAGTACTTAACAATATTACTTGTGTATAAAGATTTTGAATCTGACTTTTTTTCTTGTAGACATATGGAAGCAAAAACAAGAAGAGAGTAGGGATCATCTTTCAACGTATGTTACTGTTGATCACGCTGCTAGCCATCGTATGCTGGGGAATTCTTCTCAACACAGAGGGAGTATTGCTCTTGTTTGGACAAGACCCACAGATTGCCAAGTAAGCCCTTTAATTTTTCTTTTGTTCAGTCTGGTTTGGCAGTTCAGATCTAAGTTTAGGACAGAAGATATTTCCAGAATTGCAGCTATGAAGTGGCTGAGTGTAAAACAGTACTTGTCTTCTTTGTCAGTGTCATTTTTTGTTAGGTTTCTGTAAGATTTAATTGAAAATGGAATTTGTCAACGGTTGCTTTTTAATGGACCCAAACTATAAAGATTTCATAGGAGAATAAGTATGTGCTTGGTTGGTCTTTCAGACCTTCTCAGGAATACCTTTTTGTACAATTCAGCAAAAATCCTGAATTTTTCATGCAGAAACTTAGTCATTTCACCACTTTTGTGCATTTTTTCTGTTCATGCTCACGGGCCACTGTCGTGTCATTTGTTCTGCTTCTATGCAGTTGAAATCTTATGAATTGGCAATGCCTGTATTGCCTTTGGTAATCAAGAGGATTGTTTGGCAAGAAAAAGAAAACACAGTTGCAATGTGTCATTACCTAAACATTGTATTTCTTAATGAACCCACCCAAAAAAGAAATATAAAACACAGACAAAAACTGGCAGGTGCATGAAATATTCTCCATATGAAAAGTATAATTGTATTTGGTATATACACTTCCTTATGCTTCACCTCAAATTTTCAGGCTCGGTCAAGTTTACATTTATTGCTCATTTCTTATAGTTTCAAATTTCAATTTATTTAAAAATGGTTATTATTATTATTATTCCGTCCCTAAATTTCCCTGGGATTCCAAACCTTCCCACTTTTCTTTTTTATTCTAGATTGGCAAGTGGATATAGCAAAATTTTCATTGCAGCCACACCAGTAAGTGCTTGAAAGAAGACATATCCGAGAAAACCAGTTTTGCCTTTTTGTTGGCTTCGGAGGGGAAAACGTTGTACTTACTATATTTCTTAAAATGTTACCCATGCCATAAGCCATATGTTATCAGAAACCCTCTTGGGGTTTAAAGGCATTTAAAGGAATCTTGCATACTAGAAATCAGTTTTGAAATGTCTAACGTTTTCACCCACATCATGCCCATTTTTAACAAGGTGCTAAACTAGGTAATACACTAAAACAGAGATTCGTTTGCTCTTTCTAATGCAAACTAAAACCAAAGTACTGAAATCATGGCCTAAAGATATTTTGGTGGATTGGGTCAGAAATGGTAAAGGGTCATTTGTGCTTAATTAATGATGACTGTTGGATAGCCTTCAAAATTGGACACTTCATCTCTGCCTCACTGACTTTTCAGTACAGTTGTATTTCCCCAAACTTTCCAACCTTCATTGGGTGTTTGAAGTTCTGTACTATTGTCAATAAATTTGGTCCAAATCTATTTTGTTCACTAGGCAGATATGGTTGTGAGTCTGCTCATCAAATATCTAGAGAGTCAGAGTATTGTGTGGCCTGTGGTTGGGCTTGTCACCATTATGGGCGGTCTGAACATACTGCTTCACTTCATCATAGTTTCGGCTTTACATGGTGGATTGATGTACGTAAGCACTTTGCTTTATCTGTTGTAAGCTCACTGCTTTTAGCATGCATTATTAAAACTGACATTCCCCAAGCTATACTTTCTTGTATTTGCCAGTTGCCGCTTGCAGCTCCTGCATGAAGTCTGTCCAGTGAAGTTGTTTGAAATGGGAATTACTGTATTGTATAGTGTTGTAGTTGAGTCCATCACAAGTCCTTTCACAAGTCCCTTCACAAGACCAGTCCTAAGGAACCGGGCAGATGGTGACAAAATAATGCTTTTGTCACAGTTCCTTTGAATAGCTTGTGAATTGGATTAAGACCAAACTGACTTGTGATGGATTTGTGATAGACTTGCAGGGAGTTACAATGGACTATATACTAATACTGTTATATAATACTAATATAATACAGTACTAATAATATAATACTGTTCCAAAATTTCCTAAATCCTTCATTGTTTTTTCTTGAGAAATTGTGAATTCTGCTCAAGGCTGTGCAGTGTGACGGCAAATTTGTCATGGGAAACCTGTCAGCGAATCATGCTTAGAAAGTCAGGATTAAGAATTTCTTCCATTTCTGCATTACCTATCTACATGTACCTGTACTCACGTTCGGTCTGGCTACCTGACTTCAGAGTGTATGCATTTCTGTGATACAGGGGAGCAGTCTGGGCCCAGGTCATCACCTATTATCTTGGAGCTTTCATGTTGTTGGGCTATGTCTGCAAGAAAGGCATTTACAAGGAGACGTGGCCCGGTAATTATTCTACCTGACACAACCCTTTTTTGGTCCTAGAATCGTAACACACACATCCAATACCATTTTGGGTGTTGAACAGTATCGTGAGTTTTTGTTTGAAAAATGAATTGCTGGACATGTGTCTCGACTTTTGTGGGGAAAAAAAAGGAGCCGTAATTCAAAGTATTCAAAATGGTTTTGATTTTACCATGCTTAAGAGAGATGCATATACAAGGAGTCATGGCCAGGTGTGCGACCAGTGCAATCAGGATTTTTGTGTCACAGTGAATACATTGGTTTGCTTACCATGCTCAGAAGTCTTGTACACTTTCAGCCTGCTTAGTATAGTGTTCCTGGAGAGACCATATACCAGTCAGCACAATTGAATTAATTGAAATAGTCAGAAATAGTTCTAAACATTATACATGTAAATCATCTGTTATATGTTTCGTTTAAAAATGTACTGCAAAATTGTATGACAAAAAGTTACATGTACATTGCACATACACCTCTAGACCTCCGGTTTTTGTCATTGTTACCAATTATTGGTTGCGATTTTTGTTAATAATTTGTGTTGTGTCCTGTATTCTACACTATTCTAATATTTGCAAAATTAAAGTAAGGATTTCCTCGAATGGAATTTCATGAAAATATATCTGAAATATCTAAACTATGGCCTCCACATTGGAATACCAGGCGTTGCCCCTCAAATCATAATTCAAAGCTCCATCAATAAGCCATTTGCCAGTTAAATTTGAATAAGATGTGGTACACTGAGTTCTTTAAATTCCCGTGAACATACATGTACATGCAACAATTTGAATTCTCCATACTAAAAACACTCGCTATACGTTGTGATTCGGGGCAAGCTTTTGCTTAGTTACGTAAGAGACGCCTTGCAACAATACACTGTTCTCAATGGATAAGAAGGGCACAAAGGAACCAGTCCATTCCAGAGATGGTGGTCGCTATGCAAAAGCTTGCCCTGAATCACAAGGTATAGCAACAGTGTCTTTAGTCTGGGGAATTCAAACTGTTATGTTTTTGTGCAGTCAGATAACTCAGAATATCAGATTTTATTCAAATTTAACTTGCAGAAGGCTTATTGAATGATAAATAGATTTAATCTGAAGACACATCGGTGGTTGGTTGGATGTCATACATGTAAATTCCACTCTTGAACGTAGAATGCCCACTCTGATATCATACACAGATGTTTTTAGTTTATTGCTCAGCGGTAACTTAATGCTACCTGCATCTATGCTAGCAGTCATATGAACGAGTAGTCACAAAAGGCAAATTGGTGCCAGCATAAAGTTTAATGCCAGAAGCTAACATGGTTTATTAGTGCTGTAAAGCATTCCATCCAGAGAAGTATTTCGTCATGAGATGAAATTCATAGACAATACCTCAAGGTTTGTATTTCAAATGGATATGTTAACATTCTTGTAGTTTGAAATACACTTTGTTTCTCTACTTTGTTTCTTTAATAGCTGAAGTTACTGTTACCATGCAGGTTTGGGCTCAAACATTGTATCCTGTTGTCTTTTTGGTTTCCAGGGAAAATTTCAAATATGAAAAAAGATGTCAACCAAACATATATAACTTAAATAACACCCTAGAAAGGAAGAGCAACATTTTGCAGACCAGATTTTGACCCTTTCTCTACAAATTACAGGGTTATCCAGGATTTGGGCAGAAGCGTAGTGTGTCCGAGGACTTGCAAAGTCATTTTGTGGGCTCAACATTTCCAACTTAGATGCTTTTGGTGTTTTTCTAGGGGTCGTTTTTTTTTTCATTTAACGTGAATCCTTTCCACTGAAGAAGAATCAAAGTTGAGTCCTTATTAATGTATTTTTTAATTTGAGTGATGTCAAGTTCAACTTGTATTCACATTGAAGTACCATACTTATTTCGGGATTTCTTGCATGTAATTTAAAATCCTGAAGGTTTTTTTTACACTACTTGAGGGAATTTGCCTTTCAAGTAAATTTCACGAAACTTCCCTGACATCATATTTGAAGGGGATTTATTTTGCAGTGAAGGTAGCTCTTGCTGTACGTGGATCAATTCATTAACTTTAGCATCAGAATTAGAAACATAACTCCTGCCTTGCCACTGTGAAATCCCCTTGTATGATAATTGGGATGGTACGTGTAGTTGCCTTGAGCCAGCATGGCTCATTAACTATACCTCGTCATGCTTAAATGCACACCGTCATTTACTTTGCCTCTTTAGATAGCAAATGGAGTTGCTCCTCAGAAATTACACATAAAAATCAAGCTGGTTGGATGGAGCCTGTGCTGATTGTTTCCTGTTTGTCATGCTTTACTACTGCGCCATCCATTCTGCCTCTGTAGACAACAGATGGTGTTTTTCCAGAAATAGTCTTCATAAAAATAAAACTGCTTCCATTGCAGTGGTCTATGGTACATGTACCTCTGTTTGTCATGTTTGACATGTTTGAATGCACTCTGCCATCCACTGTGCCTCTTCAGACACAAGATCATGCAACTTTAGAAGGATAACGTGTAAATAAAACTGCTTGTATCTCGGTTGCGTACTTCTGTAGGCAACTAAGGGGTGTGGGGTGTTCTGTACACCACATTACACTGGGGAGCTCAGAGTGCCGTTTATGAAAAGATGCACATCTTTTGTGTGGAAAAGAATCATAAGAAACAGTATTTCTGAAGTTTGTGTTGTGTTTGTCCTTTTTTTGTTCACTGTCATTTTGCTTGCACCCTAGAGCTCTGCATACGTTGCAGTGTCATTCGACAACCAGAGTTAGAAACCATAACTGCAGTGGTACAATGCTCTTGGGCAGGTGGTATGCACGCATTGCATGCCTCTTACCATATGCACACGCACATCATGCTGAAGAATGAGTGTGTGACTGCAGTGTCTAATTGGTTTGCTCTAAACAAGTTGAAAATTGAAATGAAGTAAACACGTCTGATAGTGACCTTTCAGGGTCACTTGGACTTCAAGTGTAAAAATTTGTTGCAAATTGAAGTGTTTTATTTAAGGGATATTTGGTCGAAATTTCAGTCCAGGAGAGTGATTCATGTTGAAGTGTTAGCATTTTGAAAACATATCGAGTGTGTTAGTATCTTTAGCAAGCCAGCAAGCAACCTAACCAACCACATTGAAAACAAATGCATGTATTATTGCTTAATTTGTGCAAATATCTAGTCCTAAAATGAATATAGAAGCCTTCAGAGGGCAGGCGCACCAAGGTCATATTGGTAAAACTATGCATTCATTATGAATAATTATTTGTAGACATATGCACATCAAATATACAGGAAAGCTGATGGGCGAAAACTCAGGTTATACTGAATGAAACAATGTGCTGGTATATTATGGAGAAAAAACTAAGCTAGGCTTTAAAAGATGACATGGCCCATTGATTAACTGGTCAATTTCTGTCTGTAGAAATTTACCTCGAAAATCATACATTTACTGTGTGTCCTTCACGTCATTTAAGGGTAATTTATTCATGTATTTTCAGCATGAAATTTGCATTATCAGTGCTGCTTGTAGAGGGTGGGATTCCAAAGGACAAACTACTGCCAATAGATCTACTGCCATAGATTTACATCAATTTGAAAAACTTCAGAAGCCTGGTGCCTTCCAGAGTTGCTCCAAATGACTGTAACTGTTGATCCTTAATTGTAATTTTTGTGTTTATGTATTTAATTCGAATCCCGACACTAATGCAGTTTGGTGCAGACCAGCTGTTAGTTGTGTGAGTCAGACACGTACATCTCTATTGTTTTAATAGGCTGGTCCTGGGAGTGTCTTCAAGAGTGGGGCACAATCATGAAGTTGTCCGTTGGCGGCATGGGTACCGGTTTTGTGGAATGGGCAAGCTTCGAAGCCGGTTTCTTCATCACAGGTGAGGTGGTCACCAGTGGCTTGCCACATTTCTGTAGCAACATTCTCAAACTAAACAACATCTAAAGTGTTAGCTAAATATTTACAAGTACACGTATATTTTGCTTGAAAGTTTCACTTAGTGTTATGGAATTACTTAGGCATGTTTTCCAGTTGTGGGTAATATTTTTGGACAAATTTTCTGAAAGCGCAAACCTGTGCTCCTGTTTTCCATTTTCCTGCTTGATTCAGACAAAAAAATGCCTTGTGCATGTATTTTCAATTCTTTGTGAGTGGTATATGTTAACACTTAAACCAGTCGGACATTTTTAATGGATTCAAGTGGATTGATAGAAGTAGAGTAAGCTGAATTATTGGGGGTTTGGGTTAATTATTTCAATTAAGAAGGGAACATTTTTTTCAAGTTTTCTAGACTTCTATGTCAGTTTTTCTTTTCACTCTGTAGGCCTGTATGGGAAGACAGAAGTTGGTGCTCATGCTGTTTTGTTCAATGTCAGCAGTGTAACGTGGGCCGTAAGTAGGCACTTTAACTGTTCAAAGACTAGGGAATCAGAAACCATTGAGATCGTGGCCAGGAAGCAAAATAAAAAGCGTGTTGGTCAAGAAAGATGTTGCCATTTTGAGGTGGGGGTGCATCATGCCCAGCCCTGTAGCCAGCCTCAGGTGTTTGGGGAGGGGGTACATTACCAGCTAGTGGAGGGCGTCATGAGAACAATAGATAATTTGATGCAATGGGGAGGGGCAGCTTGCCACTTGCTGGGGGAGGGCAGCCCCTCTGCCTCCTCCCAGCAATGGGCTTGATAGTGGCCCAAATGGATGTGTAGATGTTTCATAGGCCTGTACCCCTTAATTTCAACAGGCACCCCTTGTAGTCAGTGATGAATAGCCAAAATCTCTCAGTGTTTTCACACTACAATGTAGGTGAAAACTTCAGAAGGCATCTTGGTCTATTATTTTCACCGTCCACTTTCATCTTCTCGAACTGTTAATAATGCAGAGTACTGCTACTGACAAGTTTAAAATCTGGCCGTCAGTTTAATGCACAGATTTGTTGTTAAAAAAGTGATTATTATACAAATTTGGATCAGCACTTCTGGAAATGTTTGGTGTTTGTACAGATATCAACTGGTTTCGGTGTCGGAGGAACTATCTTAATTGGAAACTTTTTGGGAGCCAAAAATCCAGTGAAGGCCCATATGACAGCTAGTCTTTGTATCGTTATCACAGGTATAGTGCCCAACATTACACATAAAACCACTTTGTGCCGGCCCCATTTATCCATGTTGATTCTGCGGTGCCGGGTAATTTTTTATTTTCTGTTTTCAAAATTCTTTTTAAAAATTCATACACCCACACGGATGACTCTCTTGTGGCTTCTCTAATCTGACAGATAATATTTATTAACGCTTGAATATTTCAGCCAGGCCTGCCGCCTTGTAAAAAGAGCCTATATTGTGCGGGGTTATGTAAGTTTCTTTTGTTCCCGAAACTGGCACAGTGCGCTGCTGGCGTCTTATCAATATGGGCCAGATTAGCGTGTAGTGTTATTGTATTGCTCATCACGGAGCACTTCTGTCCCTGCTGGTAATCTGTTTGCGCTGAATGCCACGAAGAGTGGTATAATTTTTCGAAACAATGACTGATTTCCTCCGCTATTGACAACTGAAAAATGCTGGCAATTCCCAGCAGCTCAGTCTTTTGTTTTGAGTATGGCCTTTTGTGACAAGGCAAAGCTCTTTTGTCCTGCTTCGTGCTCCACGGCTTCGTGCTCCACGGCTTCGTGCTCCACGGCTTCGTGTATATTGCTTATGTTCCCGAAACTGGGTAGACCCCGGCACGAAGTGGTTAACCCTTGCTCTCATGTCCTACAGGCATTCGGATTGCTCTTTTCTTAAAACAGTAGGTATGAAATATTATTGTTTTACGAAGTTGTAGCTTACTTGCCAGCTGCAGGTAGTGTCCAGCGTTCATTCTTGTGACTTTCCCTGAGAGCTTAATTTTTTAGCCCAACATGAATGTTCCGAATGCTCTCTCTTCCTCAGCACTCCTGGGTGTGTTGTACATCGTGTTCTACCTTCCCGTCAGAAATGTTCTGGGCTATATCTTCACCAAGGACATGTAAGAAATGGCAAAAAAGGCTTTTCAAAAGTTCTCATGGTATAAACACATTGGAGAAGCATTGACGAGTATGATCTGTCACTGCTAGAGGTACTCTGCGCTTCATGCCTTCAGGGCTATACTGTATATATTTACAAAAAAGAAAAAAATAATGTCTCCTCTTTCATGTCTTGAATGCTCAATTTTAAACTTCTGCCTATCACAGATCTTTGGTACAAAATGTGTCATTCATTGTGTCACTCTGTTTAAATGTTAGCTAGTGTCTCATCAGCTTATGACAGCCTTTTCCAATGCAAACAAATTTTTTGACCATTTTTTCCTCTCCACACATTTCTATTCAGGTCATTTTGGTATTGTGTGTTCCTATAAAAATGTACAAGGTGCACTGTACTTGTACTGTAGATAAGACCAAAGAATGCAACATTAATGTCAATAAGCCTTTTGCGAGTTAACTTTGACCCAAATCTGGTACACTGAGTTCTTTAAATTCACGTGAACATAATTTGATTTCACCTTACTAAAACCACTGTTGCTATACCTCTTGATTCGGGGCAAGCTTTTGCTTAGTTACATAAGAGACGCCTTGCAACAATACACTGTTTTCAGTGGATAAGAAGGGCACAAGGGAACCAGTCCATTCCAGAGATTTTGGTCGCTATGCAAAAGCTTGCCCCGAATCACGAGGTATAGCAACAGTGTCTTTAGTCTGAGGAATTCAAATCATTATGTTTATGTGCAGTCAGATAACTCAGTGCACCAGATTTTATTCCAATTTAACTCGCAAATGGCTTATTGAAACAGTTTCTTTATCTTCTACCAGTGATGTGGTCCTCATGGTAGCAAGTATTCTTCCAATCGTTGCTGCCAGTGAGGTATTTGACTCTGTCAATGTGAGTTGCTCCCGATGATATCTGTTTTGAAGAATTAGCATTTGAGACAATAATTTTCCCACTTCCAAGTCACACTCTAAACTAGTGCACACTTTCGTTTGTGTTAGACAACCTTTGATTAAGTTACATATACTTCAAATTCCCTGTGACAGCTATGAATATGCTATCTTGTCATGTTTTGCCAGTCTCGATCCATTAAATCCATTCTGAATGAAAAAAACTCACCTAGCCAGTAGTGTGCTGAGTGAGGAATGGCTGCAGACTGCTCAAGACCCTCTTCAGAACCTCTTCATGTTGCTTACACTAAAGAACACATCATCAAATCACTCAAAGGACCATATGGCTTATGCATGGCATGTACCGTCACCATACCAACCTGTTGCACTGTGCTATATGCCCCTGACCTGTAATTAGAATGTACAAGCATGCACCACGACTGACTGGAAAATAAGGTGGTCAGAGATGTTGGAGAACTTAGCATCAATAATTTTAGGATTTCACCCCCCCTGATTTTTCCAACTGATGAATGTAAAAATAAGTATGTCTCCAACTTGCGATTGAGTTGTGGACTTGGGCTATAGAAGGTGTGGCTTCATTGGTATAAGTGGCGCGGCCAAAAAATTTCACTAAAAGAGAACATTATTCAGTATTTCTTTCAAAACGTAATTTACCATAAACTAAGTGGCAGATTTTATTGCACAAACTCGTGTTGCTTTTGGGAACCTTAACAAATGCAGGATTGAATGAATATATACCTCTCCAAAAGTTAGAATTGGGGAATAGGGAAGATGACTCGTCCATTATTAAATAAATCTGTACTTGATGTTTGGATCATTGCAGAGATTGGTTAATGTCTTTTGTTACACAGATAATACAAAAGAACTTGTGTTGAGTGCATAATTACAAATAAATCATTCACAGTAAATGTTTTGCTCTCTAATTTCCATAGACTGCTTACTATGGTATCCTACGAGGTTGTGGATACCTGCATGTTGGTGCAGTGGTGTGCATCGTTGGGTATGCAGTTGGTCTCTCTCTTGGTGCGACTTTGATGTTTAAATACAACTATGGTTTGCAAGGTAAAGGAAAAGTTTCTTCCTATGGTTGAAACTAAATGAGAAATGGTACTTAAACGTGATTCGCAAACAAACACCAATCTACACCAGTCCACTATTTCATGAAGAGCAATTGTTGTGCTTATAGCCAGCATCCACCCTGTGAAGTAACATGTATGGTTTACATGAACCTTACTGAGCATGAGCCAAAAACGAAATGTTTAGGGGGAGTTCTCTTCTTGTCCGTTGAGTTCACTGCTAAGTTGTATGCATTGATCCCTCTCACCCTTGACAGGTCTTTGGCTGGGCATGCTGACATCCCTAATCCTTCAATTTCTGTTGCTGATGCTGTTCATATTGTTTCTAATCAAGTGGAAGAAGGAAGCTGTCAAGGTCTCTCTTTTGTTTTGCAAAGATTTTAATTTTTCACCTCTAATTATACTCCGAAATCAAATGTAATGAAAGTTGTGTTATCAATCATTGGTTCCAAACTCAGTCGTGTGGAGACATTTTCTCCTTTTATATTTTCTCTGTGGCAAAACTTGTCTGTAATTGGCATGAGACTGTTGCTGACGTCTTTCCAGAGATTTAAATGCGCACCGTGGCTCTGATGTGAAAATAAATGCAGACATGGTATTTCTTGTTTCCTTTTATTGAAGGGACTGGGATGTTGAAGTCCTTTTTTTAATGTTAGTTGATGAGAACATGAAGTGAGATCTTTGGGGAAATTGGCTCAGACTTTTGTTTGACATTTCAATTTTCAAAAAAAAGTCATGATTTTTCAATAACTGAAAATCAATTTTCAGGGTGTTTTTAAGGCTAGTTGCACTTTTCCTCAGAAGCAGAGTTTCAGTCTAGCCTTGCCATCTGAAAATTCTTGATTGGTTGAAGCTCTATTGAGTTCAGTGCTGACAGCAATAAGGTTATACCCAGCCCAGTCTTTCAAAGGTTTATCTCAGCTCCGACGCCAGTTTCTGGCATGGATGGGTGGTCCTAGTACCAGCTAGGGGAAACATAACAATCTTGTGGGCAATTTCTGTTCTTATGGATTTCCGGGGGGGGGGGGCAGCTGCTTATGGGGAGCCTTCAGACAGCCCCTTCGGGCCCCCCGTAGCAACGGGTGTGGTCTTTCCCCTTCTCTGCCCTTTGTAATTTCTGATAGGCACGCCAGACTGTAAAGAGATCATCTAGAAATTCATCTACATGTACGTGTATTGTGGACTATTTTGAGCAGTGACAAAATACCTGATCCCCTGTGTTGCTTTTTTTCACTTTGCAGGCACAGAAAAGAGCAGCTGTACTGCCAAATAAAAAATCCTTAGACAAAAAGCAAGATGGAGGTATACCTTTGGAGCCTCTGAAAAACCCTCTTGAAGAATCAGTGGATATATTGGCCCAAATAGACGGACAAGAGTTTGAGGAAAGCTCTAGCAAGAGTGACGAATCTTCCATTCAACGGAACAAGCACCATGGAGACGGAAACAGCAGCTGCCAGAGTGTTGGGGACGTGGAGGAGTCTGGTTTCCATCAGCAGGAACCCCCAGAAATGCAGGATAGTGATTGTGCTGACGTCACAGAGGCAGGAACCACACCCAAGTGCAGTTGCTCCCACGAGGAGAAACAGCACGAGGCAAGACTTGAGGAAGAAGATGATGACAGTGAGATTGGAGTCTTGACCATCGGCAGGCTGTCACTCCCCCAGCTCATTTTGCGTCGAGGCTCGGCTCTTTTCTTATGCATTTCCTTTCTTCTTGTTTCCATTTATGTCTCAAATGACATCATTCCTTCTGTCAGACCAGCCGTCCCACAATCAGTAAATGTAACGTCAAATTACACCACAGAGTTCACAGAAAGTTTTGATTTGAGCACTTATGTTAGCAGTTAATTTGGCAGGTATTCAGATGGCTACCCAAGTCATGAATATATCCTCAATTCTCACACCAGGTGCAATAAATGCTCATGCTCCTGTCTTGACACATTACGCAAAGAGAGAGTGAGTGCGAGATCTCTACTTCTAAACAATGCACAGGCATTTTTTAATACATATATTCAGTGCATGAAAAGTATGCAATCCAATAAAGCTGATTGTACAGCAAAAATCTGGTCAACCTAGAAAAGTATTCATTGATTCAAGAGTTTATAATCAAGTTAAATACATTACACCTATATAATCAGTTATAGTTAATTGAAATTAATACAGAACTAATATAACTCTGTTTCACAACTATTTCTTTTTTTCTTCTTTTACTTTTTTCTTTTTTTACTTGGGTTGTGACAAGAAGTTATGTTCAGTTAGTCACCAGACGTCGATCCCCTAAACTCAGATTTGTTCTTTTCTACTTTATTGCACTACATCTGCATGTTATCAGATGGAAGAAAAGTATTTGAATATTTGAGTTTATCAGGTATTTGGCACAGATCTACAAACCTACCTCTTTTGTGAAAATTTTGCAATATACTGTTCCAGACAGCCGAGTGCTTTGTTAGCATAACTCTCACGATGTACAGTATGGGCATCTTGCTGCATTATGAATCCAGTATTTTAACTGGAAACTTTCTTGCCTCATGCCGAGGTTTTTGCCAAAGATGGCATTATTATTTCACGAATAAAGTTGAGAATTCACATTGACATAAAAAACACAGAAATACCTTTTAAACAAAAGTAATAGAATTGTATTAGAATGAAGGCATTTGAAGGTGTTCATTGAATTACATATTAATGTATATTTTGCTGAAAATATACAGTGTAACAAGTTTTTTTTCATGGAGGGAGTGAGTTTTAAACTTTATTAATCAGATTGTGTTTTATAACAAATAGTTTTATTGCGAGGAAATAAATTCTTTGGTCATAATACTGGCATTTTCATCTAAAGAATTACAAAAGTTGTATTTTATGGATTAACCGTCAATTTCGGTACAGAAAAGTGAAAAACTTAGGGCTTTTTCAACAGTAATCAGGGCCTAGTAAACTACCTCTTGCCACTCACAGATTTGTATTGCAAGGCATAATTTTTGTGGAACATGTACTTGTACTGACATATATTTAATTAAAAGGAATTCGCTGTCTTAATCTTCTCCTTATGTCTTGTTCATGCCTCAGTTTTTGGTTTTGAAAAAAATAAAGTTTTAGGATATGGATGTAAGCTGTCAACTCAAGCCCTTTGTGGAATTTGTTGTGTCCGCTCCTTCCTCCATGGTTACACTCCCATACCTGCAGTACTAGGCCTGCCATTTTTCGGCCGGCAGTTACCACCAAAGATAGCGCCGCATCTTTGGTTACCACTGATTAGCAATGCAAAATAGTTCCACATCTTATTATACTTAGAATGGAACAAATGACACATTATATTATTACGCTTGTCCTGTGCGTGCTCTGAGTCGGTGATTAGTGCCAAACATGCAAATTATAAAGTTTAGAAATGAATGATAAGGATGCCCGCAGATACCAGATGTGCAGTTATGAGTCATGCGTTTCATCACATGATCGTTGTACGTCAACCTCGCATCAACGTGTGTCGGTTATGGAATTGACTGTGGTGGTAATAGCTTACACTGGCTTACGCTGGGGATGAGTGCTACACTATTGTCTTACTCCTAGACTTCTGCATTGTTATATCGCAATAAATGTCGGATACGCTTCTCAACCTGACTAAACTACAGTCGTCTTGTCCGTTTGACTGAGAAAGCGTATCTTTGTCAAGTCCTTGTAGTTTTGTAGGCCTATCTCTCTCTTCTTGCCTCAAATTTAGGGCCGTGTTTCCCCCCAATATTTGTCAGTTGCTTCAACATGTCACAAAACGATGCTGAAGTTCAAAAACAGGTAAGACCAAAAGATAAAGAGTTCCATTTACTTTTACGGAAGCCGCTTGACCATCCATGCGCATGTTGGCCGTGTTGACCATGTTGACATGACCTAGCCCCACTAGTGTGGCACGGACTCTCACTCCCGTTCCATCCGTAGCCACACATCCATATACGCAATTTCATGTCGGCGTACTGAAAATTTTCGGCGCACCCACCTATCATCGTGGGTGCAATTTCTTTTGCACACCGATATGATCCTTGACATGCTTGACCTTTCCGCTTTCTAAAAACCATTTATTGAATGATTTCACTCACGTTATTACTTTCCAGTCTTTTTGCCTTTATCCATTCAATCTAACGGGATTGCTCTCACAGTCGAATCGCCGTCTTTAAAATAAGGTCGTTGAACATTACGTCACTTGACCCCTCATCGTCTTGACGGCTGTTCCATGTCAAGACATATCTAATACACGGACCGAGCGATAAGACACTACATGTGCCAATGGGCTCTTCCAAAACTTGGGCAGCAGTTTTGAGGACCATGTTCGCCCATAGAGTTACTGCGCCAGCAAAATCTAAGCACGCGTATTTGAGTGGGAAGAGGCGGCAACAAGTTTAAATGTCATTTATGTGTCGAGTGAAAACAGTTGAATTTTGACAGATGGTGATTCTTTTTGAATTTTTGAGAACTATTATCACTTTACCATATGTAATGTCGTGGAGCATCAGTATTGTATGACTGATCAAGTCCAAAATTCGAAGAAGAGGAATACTAGGGCCTAACACTCCACTCAGTAAAGCTAGGGTACACAACAACCACAGAAACCCTGTTCATGCCCTGCTTAACGTCATGTAGAGCCTACAGCAAAAAAGGCTTTTTTCTGTGGGGTTCATGGGAGCGGGAAAGACGTCGACCCCACAGTTCTGGGGGTAAGTCTGAGTAACGTGGACTCTACAAATCCCCTCTTTTTAGTATTTGGGGATGGTAGAGTCCATGTACCTTCCAACTTTTGCTTCCATTAACTCATTTCACTCAAAAAGTGTCATACTCCAAATCAAAGTCCTTCGAATTCACCTCCAAAACCGTCCTCAAACTGTCTAATGTGCCCAGCTAGGGGTTAAGTGAAAATCAGAGATTTCAATAATGATTGTAAGGTTTACTTGCATATATGCAAGTAAACCTTACAATCATTATTATTCCTATATATAGGAAGAGAAGAGAAATTTCCGCGTCAAATCAGAAATGCTCTTGACATTAAGCTCTAAGTCACCATCTTCTTCATATAGCGATTTAAACAGTACGTTAATTGTCCTGGAGATGACATCACGGTGCACCGGCCCAGTGGGCGATTCACAAAAAGCATGCTGTGTCGGCACACGTGTGCTGATGAGTGATTCCCGAATGTCACAACGTTAATAGGTACATGTACATGTAGCTGTGTACCACATCGAAACTGTACACAGGACATTGCGGCGAGGAATCAGTTTTTAATCCTTTGATATGTGCAGGTCTGTCATTTTCCATTCATTTTGTGCTTGGATTCAGATTCATCACATGATGGCCTTTATTGACCAGGAGGCCAGAGAAAAAGCTGAAGAAATTGAGGCCAAGGTGGGTGAAAATCGTCTGGTATTTTTCACATCCTGTCACGAAAGTGTCATATATACAACAACTAAGTTCCCACTTTGCACAGTATTATTGGCCACCTTTCACTGATGATATCAGTTTTGCTTAAACTTTGAACTAGGGCCATGATTTTGCACATGCTGTATCCCTGATATGTACAGGTAGTACGTACAGAAGTTTTAGTCTCTACCGTTTGGCATCTTGATGGAGAATACCCACAAGAATTTTTACATTACTAATCTCTGATGATTGTGGGAATTAAAGAAAATGTGGCATTACATACGGGACACAAGGGGACCTTTTCATGGATTTACCAACTTATGAATTGTAAGAGTTTCCATTTTCAAGTTGTTTGGGTTGGATATTCAATAGTAATTTGTGTAATGGTTGGTGTGGTTTGAAATGGCATATTACTGTAGGTAGATGAAGATCTAGTATTGGATGGCACTGTAGTGAAATGGGGCTGCAGTGTCACAGCCAGCAGGGCTGACCCCAAAGTTGATTGGGATGAATGTACGAGTTGACCAGGCAACGATTCAGTCAATCGGAGAAAATCTTGATTTGTTGCATCACAGACAAGTTTATTCAGCAATCAAGGCGAAATCAAGGTGGAATGATAGAAACCACAGCCATGAAGCAGAATTATGATGAGTAGGTTGAGGTAACTCCAAGGAGAAACACCTCACAAAGATCCCAACGAACAATCCAAACCCAAAATATCCCCAGTTGCAGGGACCTGATGACTCCTACTGCATGTATATGTACATTCTGCCTGTGATAGAGAAAAATAAGGAAACCCCATAATTATTGGAAAAGGTGTGTGCACACAGCAAAGATGACCATCGTACCCTGTACAGATATCGTGCGCACATATGCTGTCCATATGTACATGTGCAATACAGCAAGGTATGTGCACACAGCGGTGTCTGTGACAATGCCACACCATCAGATTTCCCAAAGTTTCTGTAAAAGTATACATGTACAACTCTCCCGAAGAGTTACACGCAAAATAAAATGGAAATCACTCACCACAGGATCTGGAGACAAGCCCCAATAAGGACACCGTACATTTCAGACAGTTGTGTGCCGACAAACTGGCCACAAACACAGCGAAATCGACGTCAAGTGGTGCTGGGAAAATGGCGAAGTACCAAGCGCACGAAACATTGTGCCCCTTCCGTGTGTGCACACTAAACTAATTTACATGTGAACGTGGGGTCAGGTTTCATGCAAATGAGGTCAAGTTAAATATAAATCTGTATCCAGGAGACAAAGCCAACCAAAAGAAAATTGCTATCCCCACGGAACTGTTACGATTACCATGTCAGATCATAAGAGTTGTAACCCACAGATTGAATCTTCAAAACTCCATCTTTGACTTAGGTGGAAGTTCAAGGAAGAAAATCATTTTGTTAGTTTAATGTTGTTGCCAAAAAGGACCCCAAAACCATTAAATTGTTTGATTTTTAAACAATTGAACATTTGATTTTTGTTCTTCAGGCAGAGGAAGAATTTCAGATAGAGAAAGGAAGACTTGTCCAGCAACAACGTCTAAAAATCATGGACTACTATGAACGCAAGGAGAAAAACTTGGAGTTACAGAAAAAGATGTCAGTTGAAATATTAATTGGCAGAAGATAATTCATGTACATGAACCAGATAGTTACTTCATCATTAGGCAAGATTTTGCTATAGCCATTTTCATGTGGGAATTCCCAAGAGGCATGCGCGACTGTCATCTTTTATTTGTATACTTTAGTCAGTGTAATTGTAGTATTTGCATGGAAGCTTCTCCAGTCCTCAAATGGGCAGCACTGGGAATTTAAGCACTTCCACAGCTATTGTTCACTTTGCAAGAATGACATTTTAATATTCGGATCAGTGTCCATTTCCACCTTTTCATGAAACTCCTTTATAACCCATGTGCGTAGTTTTTTAAATGTTGACCCATTTTGATATTTGACTCATTGATTCATTTATGGTGTACTGATGAGATAATAGACCTCCATACTGATGACACCACACTATGTTTACACGTGTGCTTCCCTGTGGCACTCACTGGACTGTGGGCCCCACTGGCTCCATAGGAAGGTGCATATATAAATAAAAGTGTAATGTCATCCGTACATAGGCCTAATGTGTAGGTAAGATGTGTCTTTTTTTGCTAAAGTGACATAGATTTACCTTAAGGATATAAAAAGTGCCAGCACTTCAGTTTATACATTCCTACATGTGCACATTATCCTCTTGTTGGTGCATTTCCTTTGACAGCCAGCAGTCTAACATGCTGAACCAGGCCCGGCTCAAAGTCCTCAAGTGTCGTGAAGATCACATCTTGGCACTCCTAGAGGAAGCCCGTCAGCGCCTGGGGGAAGTGGTCAAGGACCGCGACAGGTACGGCAAGATCCTGAAGGGTCTGCTTGGACAGGGACTCTACCAGCTGATGGAGAAGAAGATGACTGTGCGCTGTAAAGAAGGCGACCTGCAGCTTGTCAAGGTATTGAAAGAATCCTTGGTTTAATGTTAAGAACTGTTCAAGCCCTGGGCCGATTTGCAGAGTTAATTCAGGCATTCTGGATGAATTAACTCTCATTCTTAACAATCAGTTTCAGTTCATTTTTTAGGAAGCATGTTAAACATAATCTCACTGTCTATGCTAATTAATCAATATTTCGTATTCCAACAGAACAGTTCACGCATGGAAAAATCTTAGTAGATCATAGTTTAAAGACATTTATAGACCGTCATAACTAAAATGCGAGGGTTGCTACATGAATGACATTGGCCCCATAATCCTTTGCTGTAGTGTGTTTGGAAATCACACCTTTGGGCAGTAGGTGAGTAGGGTTGCATTGATGTAGGTACGTAGATAGTGTTGAAATTACATAGAATGCCAAGAAAGGTCAGAATTATATAAGAAAACCTTTGGAAACTACACTTCGCATTAATAGGGAGACATTCCTTGAATGGTCATACTGGGGGGAAGCACACATTTAGCTCAGCTTCTTCGTTGCGTGTCTCCCTGCCAGTGAATGGCTCAGACTTATAAATGTAGACAGTAATGATGACCCTAACGTTACCAGTGCCATTAACTTGTGTGCACATAACGTTTGTTAGTTGGCAGGTAGGTTTTAAACCGTTACCCCTTTAGGGTGTGTGAAAAATTGTATTGAAACTGATGAATCCGGAACTGTTAGGGTTAAGAACTTTGTGGATACGAGACTGTAGAGCCCACTTGGTATTTCTTTAAAGGGGCATTATTGGATGAGTGCTTGTGTAGAATTGAGGTGTATGTTGGTGGATTAGATAAGTGTCCTGTTTTATATGCAATAAAGCTTTTGAGGAATGTGGAATAATGTTAATCCATTGTTCAAATTCCCTGATGTGGTATTTTTCACGATTCTTGCTCTCATCTTCAGGAGCAGATGAAGGCCGCTCTGGCCGACTACAAGAAGGAAACGAATAAGGACTGTGAAGTCATCTTTGACACAACAAATTTCCTGGGTGCTGACGTGTAAGCTGATATTTTCCTTTGTTTCAGTTTTGTGATATAACTGGACACATTATCAGACCAATCGCTAACTGTGTAACCTCCATCAGGTTTATTCTAGGCATTGTGCTAAATGCAGCAAAATCCCACTGATCTGAAAGGAGAACCGTTCAGAAATGCAACAAAATGCAACTGTGGATTTTGTTGTGCTGTGCAGTTTCTACTGTGCAGTGTAATCTACCACATTTGCCGACTGCTAAATCTCTCACCAATGTGAAGTTTGTGTAATTGAGCAGAGTAACGGTTGCATTTATTTCTATTCTCAGAGATCTAAAGTTTAGCAATAGCATGGAGATCCCATTCGGTTTATAAAAGACTTGAATGTAGCGCAGGATCCATTTATGAAGCTACCAGTACTAAGCTGAAAACGAACTTAGTAAATTTGCTTACCCTCTTAACTAGATGATTTGATACTGTTTAATATTGGCTATTTCACGGTGAATATCCTGTGATGTCAGAGAATATACATGTACCTAATACATGTTGAAATGTTGTGACCGGTTACTGTTAAGCAACAGAGGCATCAAACTTATTTCATTTTGTTTTTCAGCACTGGTGGTATTGAGATGTTTACAGACAACAGCAAAATCAAAGTCACCAATACTTTAGAGAGTCGGTTAGACCTTATGAGCCGTCAGGTAAGACGTGACATTTTCACTCCGTCCTTGTCAATTGTGTGTACATGTGTGTGTGGGGGAATTCGCTGAATTTTGTTGTTGCCTTTTTCAGCGATGTCATTTGAGCTCTTTCCTACACACAAGAAGCTAGTTTAAAAGACCCTTGTTGTTGCATCTATACATGCATATTAGTTGTGATAAAATAGAATGTATCTGTAACTATTTTCTAATGTTTAGATGCTACCCGAGATGAGGAAGACATTGTTTGGAGCCAACCAAAACCGGAAATTTGAGGACTAAATGGAAGTGGGGTATCATCCCACACAAATCTTCTGTCACATTGTTTGTAGTTACCCTAACCTAGAAATACATCTCCTTTGTAAAAAGAGTAATATATTTTATCTTCGGTGTTGGTATCTAGAAATTCGTGCTCTGTGTACCAAATCTATTTCTTCTCTCGTAGTGGATGAGCTAAAATATATTAGTTTTATTGTCACTTATTGGGGCAGAATTTTAAAGCTACATTGACAGCAATTAAATCTAGAATTGGAAATAAATGGAGGAAATCAAAGAATTAGGTTTTTTTGGGGGGGGGAGCAGGAGGGGGCATTTCGTAAAAATTCACATTTTCCTTGTTTATGAATTTCTGACCAAGTGTGGCCAAGATACCAGTATTGATTTTAAGTTTTTAAGACATTTGAACGTACAATAAATTCAGGACATAGGGAAGACAAGACCTCATGATGCAAACAGTTTTATTTGTTCAGTTTGCTGCAGTACTAACTTTAATGTTAAAGGAATGTCCAAAAGGTTGAAGTGCTGGTGATTGGTTTGTAGAGCACTCTAAATGGAACCCTGAAGAAAAATTCTTCTAGAGTGTTTGTTGCCAGGCTTTTCCCAGTGGAGCCATTTTTTTTTTTTTTCCAGTGGAAAGTTTGTTATAGGTAGAACACGCATTTAAGTTGTGAGTGCTTCCTAAAAGTGAATAGTAGAGTCCAGAGTTGAGGTTTAGAATCCGTGGTGAATGATTTCTTAAGTTCGTCAAACCAGCATGCAGAATTGTACCACCCCAAGTTTTGCAATCTCTCAAATGTTGATTTTGTCCATGAGTTGTGTGAGTTAATGCCACATTCCAAGCACAGAGTGGCAATTGGTTGGAATTATGAGGTCTGTGTTGAGATGTATAATCTTTTTTGGTAAGGCAATATTGATAACATGACCATATATGTACATTTAATTAAATTTATGTAACGTGCATTCTCACTGGCATTTGGCTCATGCTATGGTATATGAAACCACAGCTTTCTGTATGATCGCAAGTAGTCTGGTCCCTACCAAAGCAGAACTGTTGTACAGCCATACTTTGCTACGGTAGAAATACATTTAACACATCCATGGGAAATGCTTGAAGTGGCTTCCATGAGCACAGGTTATTTTCAATTCAGACATGGCCTACTCTTGTAAGTGAGAATGATGGAAGAGGGCCCTCTTGTGGTCTGAGCATGACAACTTGCTTTTAACGGTGAGAATTAAACACGTGTGTATCAGATAACTGAGATGGATTTTGTTCTAATCCCTGCATAATGAATTATCCATTTTTAAAAATTTATTTACAAATCACACCGACAAAGGATTTAAACACTCGTACTGATTTCTGTTTGTACTGTTACATAAACTTTATTTGCCATACAATATATATTTTTTATTGACATGCATATACAGTACTTTTCAGTTCACACTACTTTTGCATCAGATGCAAGGTACTATTTGGACAGTTTACATTATGTATTTAAGGAGGATCAAAGTATTCACGATGCTGCTACATGTCAGTGATAAATGCATCCAATGCTGAATGCACCTTGACAATGGCGCCACGCACCTGATTTTAAAAGATTTTGGGGCATAAATTTCTATTCACCAGTCATCCAGTATACCTCTCAAAGTAAACTAAGGAGAGGGCTTGCGATGCCACCACGTGGATCTCTTTGGAAGAGGCGTGGTTCTGATAAGAATCGGTGAGTGTATACTTGACGTTTCGACCAGTGAACTCCACTCCTGAGGACAGGCAGAGCACACTGATCGAAACAAGTACACACACCGGTTCTTCGTACCTCTTCCAAAAGAACTCTATCCCACATTGTGTCACTGCAAGCCCTCTCCTTAGTCTATTTTCCACCATGCAAAGCTTCAAGTCTTATTTTCTCAAGGTCGTTTACAATTAACATTCTCAACCACACATGTACTGATAAATGCATATATACTGCTTTACAAGGAGAAAAAAAACAACAAACACTGTTCAATAATCAACATGTGGAACAGCCAACTCATAATAAACGGGAGGATTAGGAAAATGGCCATAATCTCAGGGAACTGATGGGGCTAGAAAACACTTGACACCTCTAAAACACAACATCTAAAACCTCTTGAAACTTGCAGGAAACACAACATTACTACATTTGTGTAATGTTTTATAATGAGTCAAAATTGAATCAAATCCTACTACAATTTTGTCATTGGTGAAATAAATTATCAGCAAATCAAATAGAATTTTCCGAAATAATCTCTTTTTACAATATAAACATTATGTACATGACATGACTTTGTCCTCTTGGTTTGTCAATATATGGACAGTTACACCACTTGTAGTACTGGCAAATATTCCGGTGATATGTAAACTGCTATCTTGTTTCAAAACAAATTATTTTTGTTCCTTAATATGTAATGCCACTTTAAAAGTTTTATTACTGATCTCCCAAAAGCACAACACAGCAATGATGAAAAAGCAGCTGCCAAACCAGTGGATCACAAAGAAAAACAAAAAAAACAAAGACATTTTACAACACTAAGGTTTATAACGTGTAGGTAGGAGATGATTTTGGTATTGCATACTTCATTGGGAAAATTAACCCCGAGTTGGTTTATATTTTTTAAGTGCCAAAAAACGATAAATTTCTTGGTTTGTTTTTTTTCCCTCTCTTTAATGCAATAGTTCTGTGGAAGATGGAAAACAAATGGAAGCATTGGTATTTAACATACAGTGAAAAATTCTAACCAAAAGGACCAAATACATGTCTGATCTGTGCATATGGTTACATATCATTACATATTTCACTAACGTGCATTTTTCCTACCAATCCATAATTCCACAGTGCATAATTTACCTTGGGGCTGCAACACAGGTGTGATTCATAGCTCAACTCAAAAACTACGCTTTGGGATGCAAGTAATGGCAGCATGTGAATGCACTGTGAAACCCTCACAGGTCTACAGAAATTATTCGGATGACAGCCCGCTGTGAAACAATGCACATATTATGTGTTATCAGCAGTAGCTTTCTCCTGGAGTTAAGTTGAGGCTAACAATTTCGCGGTTGGCTAAGAAGAGTACGTCTCCTAATTCTATTCACTGCATTACAAGCCCTGAAAAGTGCACAATTTGGACTTGTCCCAGAAGTCCCTCCAACGTCACAAATAACATGTTACGAAAATGAGCCACTCCTCTAAATAAAAATCCACATTTGGTACGTACAGGTAGCAAATTTTACGCATCTTTGGTGGTATTACATGCAATATGCATATCTTAGATGATTCACATTACTCTAGATGTTAGCACCATGAGTTAATAGACATCAAAGCACCTGAAAATTGGGAGATAACTACATTTTTACAGGTACGGGAAATACTGTCGATGGCACACAGGGGATACCTTACAATATGCATCTTCTACTTGTGCATGGATGTTACTGTGCTGGTTGTGGTAGTGTAGTCTCGTGAAAAGTCTGAAATTGAATAGCTTGTTGCAAATATCCTGTCGGCGCTAACCCTCCTTTTAATATAAGAACAACTTACATTGGCTTGTGTAGTCTGGAATGAAGGTCACAGAGTTTGGCGCAGGTCCACAGAGAATGCAAAGCTTTGTTCATGCCACATTTTGGATTTTGAAATATGACATGAGGGAGCCGTTTAAATTTATCAAGACTGCAAAGTCTTAAACAGTCCAATCCTGGAGATGTCATTACTGCGGTGGACCTACACTGACATGAATGTTCTAGAACTTAACATGCAAGCATTTTTGGACAGTCACAGCACCTTCAAGTTACTGGCCATAATGGTGAATGTACACATAGCTTCAGCATATGAACTTAATACCACGGCAGTACTGGTCTCTAATTCTGGTCGATGGAATACTGTCGGAAATGAGCTCTGACAGACGGGACCACTAATGACCTCCCAACTGCATGTCTGACAGTTAAAAGTGAAAATCTCTTTGCACCCCTATAATCTTTTGCTCTCATGCAGCCCCCGAAATCTTATATAAGAAACTTCAGTTTGCAACGCCTGAAAGATATCGTCAGCTGCCGCAGAACTGTACACCAAATGACCTATATATATAAATATATACTTACATGTATAACAAATTATTGCTTAGTTCTGTGGTTATTACTTGACACATGTATTAATTGGTTACAGTTCTGAAAGATAACGGTATAGTTCTTGAACTTACATGATCTTGCTGTATGTAATACAGTAAGGAAAAAAAAAAATGCATTTCGTTCGCAAGGTTTGAAAACATTGTTATACTCACACCACATTCATTTCTTCAGCACTGTACACTGTTAACCACAATGTAGCATTTTTGTTTGGAATAAAACAATGGTTTTAGTTCTCTACAGTAGGGATATTATTCCCTATCGTATTTTGTAAAGCACCATCAGAATGTTGTCATGGAAAACAACCAAACACAACAGCTGCAAAAGGGAAACTCAACGTATTTGCTGCGGGTTGTACACATGCAGCGTAACTTTGGCAATCTTCTTCAAACTCACTACAATCACCCACTTCCACAAATGAGTGACCATCAGCGACTATCAATGAAAACCTACAACCACACACTTTCGGGGATCCCTCCCCTCCAAAATAAATATATAGTGGAAAATGGTCTACAAGAGATTTGTGTCCGAGTGAGCCCCTCATAACCACTGCTTGGGTATTCCGAGCAGGAATTCCCCCACGCCAAAGTAGTAGACGGCCTGCGCAATGCCAAAAAGCGGTGAGATGACCAGCAGGCGGCAGGACGCCCCCTTGAAGAACGCCGAAGGGCCCTCGTACTTCCAGATTTTGGCTGCGCAGTCCCGGATGCCCGTGTAAGTGTGCTCGCCAGGGGCTTGTTGGAGCAGCTGCAGTCTGGTTTTGATTACTGGGGGGGGAGGGGGAAGTAAAGGGAAAAACAAACAATGGTGATTCAACATGGGTGAGGTTTTCATTACTGGGGCTCTGCGTCCATGTCTGAAATGCCCTTTCACAGTTTCAGCTTGGTCCACTGCAAACGTGATCAATGTGTCATACTGGTAAATATGAAGGCCTTGACGAACCTTGGACACAAGATTCAGAATTGGCGTCATTGCGGCAACTCATAGATCCTTGAACAATCTATGAGAACATTTAGTGTCAAATCAGAAGAGTAACTCCTTTTTGTCTGTTCAATCAAGCAATTCCGTATGTTCCGTGTAGCTGTAACAGTTTTGCAGGAAAAGGCAAAAAGGTTTCACTATATTTAAAATCCAATGATGTGTCGACCCTTCCCAAAGGCCCATACATGCAAACTATTATTTCAATGATTGGGACATTCATTTACCACATAATAGACGATATTTTACCAAGTCTTCAACTTACCATCTACAGGATTTACTGACAGTGAGGCTACAGTAGCTGCTAGGCAGCCACACACGAAAGAGTGCTGGAAACTGGCTCGGCCGTTTTCATGCTCCATACCCTGTTAATAGATGATATTGACCAGTAACATGACGTACGGCAGAGTGCCCGCACAATTTTTGAAACTTATTATGCTTGGCTACACAAAGGATTATTTACAGATTTCACTGTGAACTGCTGTGTCATCTCATGTTAACAATATTTACAGATGATATTGTGTTTTACGATCCAGTTATGAGAGGGCTTAAAACTACCGGAATCATCACACTGATCAGGAATGAAACTGAAAAAAGAGATCAGATCAACTTTTATTAGGGTGAAGGACAGATATGGACCCAAGGCATCTGTAAACTGTGACAAAAGAGGTCTTTAACCACTTGCTGCCGGGGAGCCTGGTTTTGGGTATGTTTTTTTTATATGCAAAGTGGGGCTGCCCGAAATCGGACAAAGAACTGGGCCTTGTGACAAAAGACTGTACTCAGAACAAAAGACCAAGCTGCTGGGAATTGCCAACATTTTTTCAGTTGTTAATAGCGGAGGAAATCTGTCATTGTTTTGAAAGATCATACCGCTGTTTGGGGCATTCAGCGCGAGTGGATTACCACCGGGGGCGAAAGTGCTCCTGTATAATACTGCTGTATGCTAATCTGGCCCCTACTGAAAAGACGGCAGCAGCGCACTGTGCCAGTTTTGGGAACTAAAGAAACTTACGTGTTAATCACTGCACAATCTGGGCTCTTTTTACCAGGTGACAGGCCTGGCTGCAATACTTGGGCATCCATAGATGTTGTCTGTCAGACTAGAATAGCCACCAGACAGTCATTCGTTTGGGTGTAAACGTACAGTAAATGAAGTTATCAATTTTTGAAGAATTTTGAAAACGGACAATCTTGAAAATCCCCTGGGTTTATGTCATGCAACTCCAAATTAAACCTGGCAGCAAGTGGTTAAAAGTGTCAGGAAATTTCCAAATATACAGCTCTCCTCCCCCAACAGTGACTCAACTTACCTGGGCATTTAGATGGGCAAAAAGTGGGAAATAGATCATGGAGAATGGAATGTCTCGCATTAGAGTTGCTCCCAATCCTCTGTACAGTCCAAAGACGCCTTTTGTTTGAAGCAAGTTACGGGCAATAGTCAGGGCAGAGGGAGTGACCTCGGCTGTTGTACTGGCTGAGAACGCCCTCGTCAGGGAAGGGTTCACTTTGGCAGTGGGGACATCAGGGACTGTTCCAAGCCCGGGGATCTTTTTCCTCTCAACTAAAACAATTCAAATTTGAACATTGATAAAAATAAATTTATTGAATGCAAACAATTTGAACCTGCTTTTGAGCAAAGATTCTGGAGTCTTTTACGATTGCAATTTTGTGATATCCAAACTTCGATGACAAAAGAAGTTATCTTTCTTCGGCATTGACAAAAAAGGAAGATTTAGTGATTTACATGACTTAGAATTGATGAAACATTTTGTCTAAGTTTTGTCCAGTTTGACAGATTTTATTCATCCAAGCCATCAATCCTATTTGAATTATTTTCTTCTTGATGTGACTTTTTATGTGAAGTACTTTCAAGGTGGACAATTCAGACAGAAGGACAAAAATCCTGAGAATCGTACGTCTCTCTTTCGAAACTCACTTTTGCGCCCTGCATCTTGCAGTTGGATCTTTAGCATTTCCATAGGGGTGGTGATTATCACCTGGCACAGCCCTGCTCCCCCACCTGCCAGCATTTCTCTGTGGAGTCCCATCGGTTTCCTGTAGCACGCCGCGAGGAGAAATATGAATGCAGATTAGGATTAATATAAAAGCAAGGCGCTCAAAAGTCAGAGTTTTGAGCTTTGACGAGGATGGCTTGCTTCAATGATGTGAACATATAGGAAAAGATGTGGAGTTAAAGTTTAAATGAGATTTCAAGATCTTAGATTTGTGGGGGGCCAAAGTACACCTGCTACATGTACATTACACTTCAATTTCCCTGTAGTTTCACACTACAATGGCAGGTCTTGGAAAATAGGAAAGGCAGGATTGTGTGGAATATTCATCTGAATGATATCTGTTTAATACAAAATCCAATGTAATTATTTTACCAAACCACTTCACTTTTTCAAAGCAAAGAGCAAAAAAAAATTAAGAAGAAAAAACCCTGACAGGTTTTAATAATCAATATTTTGAGAATACAGGTAATGGATGTTTGCTATCAAAGAATCAAGTCTGATCTTTGAACTTGATATCAAATCAGGAACTTGATGCACTAATGATCTACACGTACAACATATTCTTAAGTGTCTAGCATAAATTCACCCAACACCAGCTGAAAACCTTATCTGTTGACTGATACTGACAAATATCAGTTATCTGATTAGGCATCGACATCTCTCAACCAAACTATACACCAGAACTGCCACGTTAAATATTGACCGACACGTACACGTACTCTTAATCTTATAGGAATGGCATTATCCAACCATCAGGCTGAAAGATCACCAGATCCCTAAATTTGGCCCACTGCTGATATACTTAGCCCTCTCCACTGGGCCTTGATGTAATTGTCCGGTAGGGAAATTAAATTCTGTTTTTCTTGGGGGGGGGTTGATGGCAAGAAGAGGAGAGATCCCTGATTGAGAAGGGAAAGTAAACCGAAATGAAGATGGAGAGGTAGACAGCTTATCCCTCCAGGGAGAGTAAACCTCAAGTATTTTTCTACCATGGACTTCTTAAATGCAATCTTTAATTTTGTTTAACTGTATTTCAATTGAACAACTAAGAAGACATTAACACATTATTATATGCAAAGTTTTAGTTTAAACGGGCAAACTATTTTGTTGCCGTTTCTTGAAAACTGCATTTATAAACTTGCTGTGACTACATATACAGGTACATGTATGTGCGTGCACAGAGCAGGAAAAACCAAAGGATCCTTGGTAGGGACGCAAGCAAATATATGCAATACGAATACAATACATACATCAAAAGTGAGTTATTTGAGTGAGCAATTATAATTTTCCAGGGGACTGTCAATAAAGGAAATTAAGTTCATGTCTCCAATAAAAACTCAAGGTGAACCACGTAACATCTTATGTGAGATCTGATTGTCATGGCAACATTTTCTTGAATGCACAAAGTAAATCAAACGAATGCCTTCCAACCTTTTGTGGGTTCCCTTTTTGTCGGCAATGTGCTTTTTGTGAGCAAAGCCAATTATGTTCAAATTTCTTCAGCTCTTTTGTCTCTTACATAGCACAGGTCTTCTCTACTTTTTTGGGGGGTACACAATATGCAGGCCCTCCCTGAGGCACGACAATAACATGCCCCTCTTCAGTGTTTCCCAGTGAGTAAACAACTTCCAAGTCAATCGGCTTCGATATTGCAGATGCACTAGAATGCCCAGGGACCTTTCCTTACTTACTGCCAATGCTGGGCTTTAAAAATCAACGCGTCTGTTCAATAACATCTCGTCTCTCAAGTAAATCTAGAGTGGGGATCTGGAGACATATCAGTTCTGGCACCACAAAATTGCCCGATACCAAATGATAACACAGAGTGCAGACCTCTAAGCCAAATTTCATATAAATCTGGAGTTGGTGTCCGACAATTGTCAGGTAGGCAGTCACAACACATTTACTTACAGGCTGTTTGTGACAACAGACTGTCTTTTCCACATCATCCAGTTAATGGATAGAACCAAGGGGTGGTAAATTTCAACCTGAGGCTTCAGTAGTTGCGTTTTAGCAGGCAAAGCGTGTTGTCACATTACAATAAACGGCAACAGTTCTGAAGTTGTTCGGTGACCACGTTGTTATGATGAAAAATGCAACGATCTATTAACTAGTACCAGGCATCTCGTCATGTTCATCACACTGAACTAGAAACGTTTGAATCTATGGTATGTCAACTGCATGAAATTCACAAGAAGAGAAAAGCACTTACAACCCCAGCAGGTCTAGGGTAAAATCATTACTGAGAGGGAAAAAAAATCACCTTATGTACAGAAATAATACGTAGCCAACATGATATGACAAATTGACTGATGAAGAGGTGATTCCATCACGGATGCTGAACTGTTTACCGAGACGGTAATACTTAAATTGGATTGTATTACTGAAGCAAGTGACGAAATGAAATGGCTGAGCTGATCTACGGGGAATCCACTATATGTGTATGACCGCAATTCCAAAGGACTCGTCTTATTTTGCCGGTAACAAGTTTTCCAAAAATACTAGTGAGTGCAAAGTACACTCTCCATATATACATGTACGTACTTGTACCTGCATGCCACTCAATTTTGACAACCTCATAAATATCCACATTTTATACATGGGTGAAAAGTGAACAGTTCTTTTACAATTTTTCCACATGCAAAATTGCTGAAAGACCTGTATATTTAGATGTGTAATTCACATATCTCTGCCAGGCTTCCGTTCAATAAATGCACAGCTGTGGTACTTAAAATCATTTGGTAGAGGAAGCAATTTTGTTCTGAATGGCTAATTTATATCATTCATATTCACAAAGTCAGTTCTGTTGGCTACATGTAGCTACATATACATGTAGGTCAGTTTATCACATGCACATGTATGTATGCATGCATTCTCAACATAAATCCTCAAGCACAGTCCCCTGTACATGTGTGTGTATATTAAACGAAATTCCAAACTCATTTCTACTTCTACATTCCAAGCTAATGTACGATAACACTATCTTGATATCTTTGACATGTTTACGATCAACGGCTCTCCACTTTCCTAATAACAGTCTATCCACTCTTGCTACAGACATGTCTGATAAAAGCTGGGGGGGGGAACAACGAACTCTGCCTTATACCAAGATTGAAACAGAAATAATGATCACCCCCCACAATTTCCGTTCAAATCCACCTGTGGCTGGGACAACAAGATGGGGACAACAAGATGGTAATTTTATACCAAGCCGAATGGCAGCTGGCATGAGACACATCAACAAATGGACAAATTTGTTTGGCCAGCATATGGAAGATTCCAAAGTTTGATTGAAAAAAAGCATCTGTTGGTGCCATGCACACTCTGACAAAATACCATAATGCACTCAAATATTGACTTTACTTCGAATTAGTTATCACCTGTTGTTTTGTAAACGGTCTATATGGACTGATTAAGCTTTTTCAAAAGACAGAGACCAGCAGGATGTTAGCCCTTCACATACTGTATTTGCTGATCTGGCTGGTAACCCATAACTGTTTAGGTTTGCCATCTGATAATGTGCGACATTTCGTTTCATGCATTCAACATTTCCTTATGTCAGGATATCTAGAGCACTGCTAAGAACAAAATTAATCTGAAATAATTCCCCCCCCCACTTACCCTTCTCTCTGCAAGTGGTAGCGGAAGAAGTCATTGCCAACCAGCTTGATGGACTTCTCTGGTGAAATTAGTGCAACATTTATACCATACCCTGCAAGCAAAAATACAATAATAAATATAATAATAATAATAATAATTCATTCATTTATAAAGCGCAAATTTCTTATAGATATGTTCAAATGCGCTGTACAATGAAGACATTAAGCGTGGAACAATGAATACATTTAAACATGGTTGAGCCGATGGCATGCAAGGGTGCCTCGGGCAGCTGCCGAACGACCCACATTCACATCAGTAAAAGGGAGACAGTAAGAAGCAGTTACAGTTTTAGAGAATAAAGAATTACAGACAATGATTATAACATTTTAATTTATGGCATATTCAGTAAACCAAACAAACCTCATCCAAATGTTGCAAAACATCCAATCCATTGCAATGTTTAGGTCATTTACATAACTTCTGTAGTTAATTAGTGTAAAACAAGCACAACCCAAGATTAGAAATTAACCCTTCAATGATATTTTACAGGGATTTATTCCAGATGTTTTCTACAGGGCGCCACACAACTAATTTGATTCAGGGGAATTCGATTAAGACAATGCTTCCAGAATGACGCAAGCATACGTCACACTGCCCTCATTCAGAGGTGGGGTTCCAGCAAGTACGCACCAATAATCAATACACCCATTAGCAGATTAATTATCCAGAATTATCTACTTGGGGCCGAATGAGAAAGCGACACACGTGTGGTTGTAACGGTCACACACCCACGCACTCTCAAGCAATGTTTGCATTAGGCCCGTGGGCATGCCAGGACTTTCTTTACAGTAAGCTGGGTGTTTAACCGTTCCACATAATACAAGCAGGAATCAGTAGCTAAATTTCAGCACTGCGATGCATTTTTTCCTTCTGTATGTAAATACGAGTGCAATATTTTCATAGAGTTATACTGAATTACCAGAGTGCAAACGCACCGTGCAAAGTAATGCTGGCTGGATACATCCATGTACTGCATGTGCCAAAAAATAGAACACAAAAAAAAACCCACCAAAAAAAAGTTCAACTACTACAGTTACAACTTAAAGTATGGCCATTTTCATATCTGCATTTGTGTTCTAAACCAAGGAGTCATCGAAGCCAATAGTCAATAAGCGTTTCCTCTTCTGTTAGTGCAAACAATACAAACGCATGCACATACCAGAATGTGCGGTCGATGAATTTGCCGAGTCATTTCAATGTGCCACACTACTGATAAATAGCATGCTTAGGGCATTTGCTGTACTTGCACATTGTACATGTATGTAGACTACATTATTCGGCATTCGATCGATCTTATTACAACCCCTTTCACAAACAGGCACGTGAATTTGATATGTCTACGCTCAAGCCGACATCAAAGTTTCGTCATGCAGGAGTGAGCAGCTAACACGAGTCATTTAAATATCTCTATGAATATTCCCCGTCAGTGTTCGAGAAGCATACCAAAGTGTGCGCTGCTGTCTCTACGTGTTCACACTATCGTACCCTGTCACTATATTTCCCTGTGCCTCCCCTCCCTATCTCTGGCTTTTTCCTTGCTTCCCTGGCCCTTTGCTATTCACCGATCAAGTGCTTGAACCAAGTAATCCACTCTAAATGCGGCGGCTAACAACCGTACCAGGGCCACGGTGCTATTACTGGGGGAATGGGGGCTATTATTTATGACCTTTTCCCAAGTGGTTAATACCACAGAGGATGGGGCAGAAAGGATGCACATGTAATTACAACAAGCGAGAAAGCTGCGACAAACCGATCCCATTCTGATCGCTTCTCACCAACTCAGTGCCAAGTCGTTACTCAGCCGGGTCAAGTGAGTGCATTAACCTTGGTGCAACAGAAGGCTTCGCATTCAGCAGCAACAAAAAAAAAACCCAAAACCAAAACCAAAAAAAACAACAAAACAAAAATAAAAAAATATCTATTACTGTATGCCTTTAAATCTTTACGTAATTAATATTCCACCCCCCTTGCAATTTTGTCCCTTAGAAGGCCACCGGGCATTTAACCCCGACTCACCTTTGTACAAGCCTTTAATGCCATCTGCTTTTGCAGTCTTTATGAAACAGTCCAATCTGGTTAAAACGTAAAAGAAAATGTAAAATTACAGTGACATTCAGGGTCTTATTTCTGTTTCCATTTTTGGGGGCAATGTGGAGAAATATATGTAATAAGTCAATAGGCTCTGCCATGTTTTCCTGATTTTCAGTTAAATGGAAATTTGGGAGATCACCATAACAGAAAAACTCCTTGACTTAGAATCATAACCCTAACACTCCTCAGTCCTCCAACAGGTGAAGGATTGAGGAGGGTTAGGGTTAATATTTAAAAAGAGATTCCACATGGTAATAATTTAAGGGCACATTCTAAATTTTAAAAAAAAATTGGAGAATGTTGGTGTGACACTACATCTTACACATTTTGTGCTGATTTTTTTCTTGCCCTAGCTTTTTTGAAAGCAGTTTCTGAATCGTGGCCTTGCAAAGTAGACCAGGGATTTACATACATGTACATGTAGTGTACAATGCACAGTTCAGTTTTAAGCATTTGAGAATAGCTTCCACAATCCACAGCTTATAAATAATTCCCCCTACCCCCCAAAAAAAATCCACACAAGCCCAATGTTTGCTCTCTGTCAATGTTACAGTCCATTAATGCCCGCCGCCAGGCCAGCAACTCAAAATTATGGGACGTTAATCCACCATCAAGCGTGTCTTCAGGAAATAATTATATCCATCAGACCAGGACCATAATGAACCAATCTGCGGGTACTCTGCTGTGACTTGGCATTTATTGGAGTTGTTGTTGAATCATTTTCACCGATTTCATCAATTTCCAGGGTGGGAGGGTGGACGTGGTTTGCAACCTTTGATTTCTAACGAATTCATAAACTGTATTTGGAAAATTGGCATTCACACTTTGACAGCTTTGAAGCTTTGAAACATGGCAACTGCTGGGTAGCAGGTGGTTATCACATATATTTTATTTAAAATGTCTTTAAAAATTGACGTGCAATGACTACATACATGTGTGGGCAGTAACATTAACAAAGCAAGATGAAGCAAATAATTTGCACCCTAAGTGGTTGTGGGATCGTCAAATTTTAGTTCTTTAATCAATCACCTGCACACAATTAGCATTCAAGCTTTACTGTTATAGTTGCATGTAAGGAGGTCTTTGGTTTTCCATTTGACCCGAATATTAAAAGGCTTTCAAAGATTCCTGGGCCATACATGTAGATGAAGCAGAAGTTGGCAGAGGTGTCAAGCTTTTACGAAAGGTCATAAAAGACAAGTCACCCACATACATGGAAACGTCTTCTGCGACTTTCAGAAACCCAATGTTTACCCAAGGATGTAGCCGAAAGGCGGCATCCATGAAAATATCCCTGTAGGCCTTTTCCCCAAAGTATCCCCTTTCACGCACACAACCACAGCCAGCCTTTCATTGATCCGAGGAAACGTTATTCTTGACCCAAATGCAGCGCTGTGGCCAAATGCGTGGGAACAAAAAAGGCAGCAGGCTTCCTGAAAGGTTTTCAAGGCAAGGTTGTTTTGGTAACAGATACCAGAGCATTTAAATCATTGATTCTGGTTCCACATCAGTGGGCTACGTTGGAAACAGCGTGACACGGGGGATGTGATGCACTGCAGATGATGGCAGTTTTTCTGTTTTTCAAACAGAACAGCAGTGTTTCCTGAACCCGCTTGAGTGTATAATTGGGGAGAACTTGAGTTACTACACAAATATGTGTCATTCCCTTCACATTTCCTTACAAAATTTGATCGTCAGAATCTCGGTAGAAGAACAAAAAATATCTGCAAATACTGAAAGAAATCAACTATCATTCCAATGTACAACAGAGGGTGGTTCATTTTTTTCCAATACATGACAGATTACCAACTCCATGTTGGAAAAAAACAAACAACACAGAGCCCTCAATGAGGAACTGATGACTACGGAAATGTTCCATTACTTTCATTTAATGATACATGTACACGTAGCTAACCTCATGACACTTTGGTAACTCAAACAATTAGGGCCCAAGCTAACTGCTTTTGGCTTATAACTTGCTTTTTTAAATGGAATCAACTCACAGGTTCTTGTACATTCGCCTTCCATCGATGACCTGCTGGTTTTGTAGCCTAGTTTTCACAAGATCAATGGGAAAGATGCATGTGACTCCTGTGACACCTGCCAGAGCACCGTTGATACACTTGGCGGGAAGGCTGGGTTTAAGACCAAGATGGGGGAAAGAATGAATCCGAGTTAAAAGATACACTCAAAAGTTAATGTGATTGTTTGACAGTTGTATCCAAAACTGGTAGGTAGGTGGGGTAATTGAGGCATGCACTTGATTTTTAAACAAAATAAACTATTTTGAAACAAGAAAAACAAAAAACAATCTGTTATGGTAAAAAAATACTGCTTGAAAAAAACCTGGAAGATTTGCATAAAATGAAAAGGGTTTGCTTCAACTGAGAATGCCACAGTTCAAGTTTAACAAAGTTAAGCTCAATCAGCAGAATGCCAAATGCTCAGTTCAGTGGCGTAGAATTTCTTGGGGGAGGGGGGCAAGAGGGGACAACAGGTACCATAGGGGGCCAATTGCTCCCTTTGGCTATGAAGTCGGGTTCTCCTCAAAGAGGGGAAGCCAAAGTTCCTACAGTCAGCTCCTCCTTTGCCTTTTCAAGATGGACGGTACAAATACAAATACATGTATCTCAATTCATTATACATGTATTTCAAACAAGCATACAATGCTTGTTTGGAATTTTGAGATGACATGCACATTTTAAATTACACGTACAACAATGCATGTCACGTGGGTTCTTCCTCAACTGCAAAACATTTAATAAACGTCCACGTTGTTTAAAAGGAAAAATTCAATTTGGAGCTTCTAAAAATTAATACAGTAACGTGTATCAGAAAGAGAAATATCTATTTGGCAAATGACAATTTTTTGTTGTTGTTGTTGTTGTTTATATTTTTAAATGTTTGTGGCTGTGTGGCAAGATTAATTATGGGTACATGTACATGTATGTGTGGCAATGACAATACATCCTATTCAACTTCTGACCAAAATTTTTATTGAAAAGCAAGAAAGAGAAACATTTTATGAAATCCCAGCACTCCACTACAAACATCTTTAATTCACTGGTTGCTAGGGCATTTCTACTCTGACGTCAGCATTTTAAGTGGGCAAGTAACGTGTGCACAAGGACGGAAGTGTGTTGCATGACAAACACCTTGAGTGGGCCGACAATGCCATTCGTTCTTGCATCTCTGATCAAATCGCTAATAATCAAATTATCACATTATTACGCAGTTCATATTACTTTTAACTAATGATACTGATTCGTGAATTCTACCACAAAATATTAAAATGTGAAGATGATCACAGAAATTCTAAACTGTAGTAAATGAAAATTCGAAGAAACAATAATTTTCAATGAAACATTTGCATTGCGATGTGCACTGTACATGCAATGGCAGATGGGTAATGTAATTTTATCTTTTCTATCTCTTTTTTCTTAATTGTCCAGCACAGACAGGAGCAAACAGTCATGTGTTCCCAAACTCCTGGGCGTAATGCACAGACATTTATTTATGCATGACTGGTAATGTACAGCTGGGAAGATGTTCGTATTCACACGACTGGTGGAATATAACAAACCCGAGCGTGAAATCACAGCAAGCCAAGTGCAAAGTCTTCCCTTTTGTCGATGATGATTCTATCAAGTCCAAACTCAACCGAGGGGGAGAAAAAAATGAAGCAAACACGCAAGCGTGCATTTCCACTCCAAGTAGTGACGCAGCATCTGATGCGTTACTCATACTTGGAAGAAGGAAAAGTAGTAGCACCGATGGAAGAATTGGAGAATCGATGACACTAAGTGCACCGATCAGTCCATTTTAGGCTTTCACGATTATCCGCTTGATGAATTGAAATTCAATGGCAAAGACGTAATGGGGAGACTGTGGCACTTGGAACCAATATAAGAAAACCCTGTACATCAGATGAGCACAGAACAGGAAAATGCTCGTCTCTTCTTATATTGAAGTTTCTTTAACTGCGTTGCATTTTGGGTGAAGGTCAAAATCCTGGCAAGTTCTACTGCTGTAACAGTACTTACTAACTTACATGTAGAGCTGTGCAGTCCATATTTTGTTATGATTGATGATCATCATGAGACAAAAATTGATTGATTTCTTTGATAAATTTTGTTGTAATGATACATGGTTTTGCTTTTTAAGGGATTCAAAGGAAAGCGATTTGGCAGAGGAGTTGGTGATTGGAGATAGGGGCAATCAAGTTGTTTGTGAAACTGTGAGTACTAAACCTTGTCATCATTTATTTTCATGCTCTTGTTTAAAAAATAAACAAAAATAAACTGAATGCAACCTGTAAAATACAATTTTTTTTTCAAGTCCAATGTGATGTATACTGCCAAAAAAAAAAAAAAGCCTTTCCAAACTAAACATGTGATACTCCTCTGGAATAAATTTAACACTGCCACTATAAAATGTATATGTGATTAGTTTCACTTTTATCTGCTATATCATGACTAGTTATCATGGTTATGTTACACATACCACTACACGTTTAATGGGTTAATACCATATTAAAACAAATTAAACAGCCAATTTATTTCCATTTAATCTGATGGTCATGCTTATTCTAAATGCCATCAATGTAGGCTCTCACGGGAGAAACCAGTGTAATGAATATTTGACGAGAAGGATTTCTGCGTTGATGCCCGAGCGCGCAGAATTATTGATGCTTGCTATCCTTTCCGCCAATGACGGGTACACCTGTATCCCCCCCGTACTATCTGGACTGCTCTGAACTTTGGCGTGGGCTCAAAAGAATAGAGATTGGACAGCAAATCCAATAAGCTGGAGTCCCTTGAGATGGTACTCTTTTTGCAAGCCCACTCATTGTAAATATGGTTGAAATGTCACAGCCTCCAAGTACATGTACATGTACACTAATCCAACATGCACTTGCGTCATCTGTGACATACATTGTACACTGTACATGTATTTAACTGTCATCCCTTTTTTTAATTTGCTTTTTATCATGCCACACTAGACAAAATGTTTTATTACAATATTAATGCTTACACCTCAAGCTAAGCTTTGGAGGGTTTGTCATAATTACAGAATTAAGTGCTTATTAATTATAAGAATTTTGAAAGTGAAATTAAAAACAATATACAAAATTGGTTTTATTTACTGAGGAGGATCCTTGGGTGTTGGGGACGGTTCTAAGCAGCCAATGTCATAGGAATACAGGATCACAATTGGGGCAATGTGAATACCGAGAAATAATCAGTTTGCATTGCATTTGGTTCACCCTTAAGCCACTTTAAAAAAATAGTTTAGCATCAGTTGTATTTGCAAAAAACGAGGAGGGAGGATTTATTTTTTTTGTAAATTTAAAAAAAAAAATACTTTTATATACATGTTGATCTGGGTTGTCGCAACCACGGAACGAAAGCGCCATGTTCACTTCAGACTCGTGCACAGAAGTGCACATGACACAGTGTGTAAACATGTACTCAGGTCGCATGTTGTGCGTGCACGAGGTTGAGTGGGCGTTGTAGATACTACAGGGGACAGCTAAGGACATTGGAAAAGACAACTTTTAAAGAAACAAAAACAAGCGGCAAGATTTTTTGAGGTGGGCACTGATGCTAAACTAATTATTTTTTTCATGTGGCCTTATCCATTTTTTAAAAAAAAATGAAAGTCAGTAAAACCAACCAAATATAAATTTGCAAATGTACTGAAAATTAAAACAATTTTGCACAAATTTGAAGAAACAATTCATACTGCACTACATATACATCATCTCAGGAAAGTAATTGTTTAGATGCCATTTTTAAACTATGCATAGCCACAAATTTTGGATTAACTTTTTGTCAAAAAGGCACCATTATTAACAACAGAGCTTAATAAAATATTGTAATGCATACATGGACACATCTGTTTTGGGGGCCAAATATTTTTCCATTTTTAATTGGCAGTTTGTTGAAAAATAATGAATATTATTGCTAAAATGAATGAATTCAGGAAAAAGGTTAACTGTGCAACTTTCACAGAGTTGGAAACAAATTGTAAGTAAAACAGAAAGGTAAGGGAGCCAGCAATTCATATACAGGAAGAGCCAAACAACTAAAAATAGCACATAAACTAGTAAAAATACAAACTTGACTTCACTGTAATAAAATGGCATGATGGTACCAGGTGAAATGTTGGGAAACTAAAGTGAACTATTGCTAGCAAAAATCCAGGGAACTATTTCAACAAAGTGAATTACTGAACACCAACTGGGAGTGAAACTCAGTGAAGGAATCAACATTTGTAACGCCTCCCAACGACAAAGACTGGCCATTTGTTTGCTGTAAAATCTCTGCCATGCAAACATACTAAAAACCAAACACTATCAAAAGAGGTGAATGAGCTAACATCGGGGTGGCATGCAACTGGAAACAATGAATTACACGAAATGGGTACACAGCCACCCGGTTGCCCATTAAATACCTACATGTATATGAATATATGTGAATGCTACAATAGTTACCCAGAGTAGCCCTTGGGTTGCTTTGACTGTTCCTCACTGGCTTCTTTGGAAGCACTAAGCATATGGGTGCACAGGGATATACTTTTAGCATACAGCTACAATTCAGCAGATTACAATTTACATTGCAAGTAGATTTTTTTTCAGTCAAACTTTCTTTTTCATTCAAAACCTTTTGTGATAATTGTTTTCCTTTGCCATAAAACGTAAGAATTGAACATGCACAATGTACATGTATGATGAAAATCATGGAATAAAATTGCTTTCAAACAGGTTGGCAAACTAGAAATTTGACAAATTTTCTACATTCTTATTCATTATGATCAAAAGTTTCACTTCATTCTTTTGCAAATCTAGGAAAAAAAATTTACATTAAATTTCAAAACATTTATTTGGGATTTTTTACTCCAAACAAAAAACAACTTCGTCCTTTTCTCAATACTCACCTAATATCACCCATTCCTAGTAAAAGCAAATCCTGTGGTCTGTTCTGTGAAACTTAGCCGACTTCGTTTAAACCAAACTTGTATTACACAGCTGCTGTCAGAAGGGTAGAATCTTTATCACATCTATGGAGAAAAGCGTGCTCAAAGAGTCTGCCCAGTCAACCAACTGCAAATGATGAGAATAATGAAAATTCAAATCTGGGGTACTTCAGCCAATGTGGAGTAATAGCAAATACATGTATCTACACACTTCTGGGTCATCAACTGAAAAAACAGCAATGCATGTATCACTGTCACTGCAGAATGGCCTCGTGTGTTGCAAATGCTTGCGTACATGCATTTAAATATTGTGCCTACTAGATGCCCCCGCGGATTATAAATATTAAAGCACTCGTCTCGGATGACGTACAACTTGAAGGGTTTATATAATGACACAGCATTATTGTACTATTAATGCCAGTTCAATTTATGACGTATCTCAAAAGATAAGATCATATCAATATGTAAGCGATATCTTAGGGCTGGATAATATCTGAGACAGGCCATTAGGAAAATAATCCCCTGAGGTAATTTATATTTCTTTAAGCACTCTGGAGGAAACTGTGATGCATCAAACGCTGTAAATTATGAATGTGGCACAGGATACTGAGACCAATTCAACTGTGGTGATGCAGAGCATGGTTCTATCTACGTCACTATTTATTCATACTGGAAAACACAAAGCATGATAATTGCTCTAAACGACTACCAGTTCTGCCTGAAACAATATTTCTTCAAGTTCCTGATACATGTAGGCTGACCAGAAGCCGTAACCTATGAAATGTGGGCAAAAAACGGTGGCAATATGATGAAGCAACTTCTGAAGTCAAGGCCTAGCCAGTCACAGTAAGCAAATGATAAACCCCAACGGTGACCACACCTGTACCAAATCCAACATCCCCATGTTGTGTTGGGCCTGTACCATAGTGTTTTAGCTAGGATTTGAAAAGTGGGAGAGCAAAATGAAAACCAGGGAGTGCCATCTTGTTGGAGTCCAAAATTTGTGCGCGAACTTGAAGCACGCGACACAAAGAAAGTCCCTTACAGCCGGGATCCAGGGCCCGCTTAAGGGCCCTGGAAGCTCTGGCTATTTTAGATGCTCTCTGGCATGTCTGGTGGTCTCTGATGAATTTCTGACATATTTTCATGAGATTTTGCCTTTTCAAACAAAAAATAACAGCTTTTAGTAAATAATTAAATTGTAAAACTGTCTCCAATTGTTGTTTTATATCGTGTGATTAAACAGCCCTGCAACAAAGAAGTGAATAATGACAAACACCTTGGAACAGATTTCTCATAACCACTTTATTTTGTTTTCACAAAAATGGTATGCAGGTAATGCAGGTGTTGCAGGTCAGTACTTGACACACGCTTTTGTGCCTTTTTGTTGGAATACATGTACATGTACATTACATTCAGATTATTATGTGATAAGAAAATAAAAAATGATATAAAATGAATCCCAATATTCCTACGTTTCCTTTGACAGTTTGGCTAAGAACAAACAAATTGAGTACAAGACTTGACTTCAATGTGGATGAAAAAAATACATGCCCTACATGCATAGTACGTGTACATGTACATGCGCACTGTATACGCATTGACGCACACCACAGACAGCTCTGTGAACAAGTCTGAACATGGCATCAGAAGAGATCAACAAATTTTTTTTTCCATCATTAAGATAGAAGAACCTGAACAAGCTTTATGCTAATTATTAAGAGAAACAACGATTCCGTGTAGGTCAACCCTTACTTTCAAGAAGAAATTTGTTATTTTTGTTTCATTCTGGATGATCTAATGAGCAAGCAGCGCAAGCCCCGAAATGATTATATGTCAATCTTGGCCCAATGGACGACCTTGTGTGAGAGTGGGCACACTATTGCGGCTAACGATCACCATGGGAACGAAGTTGATTACTTGTACGACTGATCACTGGCGAACAAGTATGGCTCCCTGTGTTCATTTTGTTACAAGTTGATAGATATGGTGTTGTAGTTCGTTATTTATGAGTAAGGGAACCCGCCTACCAGAGTTGATACATTCTAACATTCGAACCATACATGTACATGTACTTTACCTCAGCGTATTTTCTATTTTTGAATGGTCGATGGGGGGAAAAGACTGAATTTTAGCTCAGATTTTATTTTCACATTTTTGGGAATCTAGATTACACAAGGATCAAATTAAGTAGTGCACGGCTCGATTTGCACTGCCAGGCTGTGCTTGAAAAAATGGGCCGTGACTTCACAAAACTGGCCACGGATGCAAAACACCGCTGCACGGCTCGCTAGCTAAAACACTGGCCGATACTGTATGAGCTTGACAGATAAAACATACAAATACAGTGTGTGTGAGACTGGCCTAGCTATCACACATTCCATTGATATCGAAGTCACTATCACACAGTCTATTTTGGGATGATTACCAGTTCAAATCACACCACAGCCTGGCAGTGACACCTGATCCTTCCCAATCTCCACACCAAACACTTTGCGAGAAAATTTGAAGCCCTAACTGTAACAGCTCAAAAAGACTGTCTCAGATGGGCAAAATTCACATCCTCCCTTCTCCGAAAATCAAACTCATCACAATCAAACTATGTAATTTCCCACGGAATAATGGCTTGAAGTACAGACTGCATGGTTCAATGAGAACAAGTAACATTAGTTTGTTGCCCAAAATTGATTCGCTTTTTAAAAACACTATAAAGTATCAAATCCTTACCCCTCATTTCACCAGTAGAGTGATATGCTTTTGTTTTTGTACCGGCACAATTTTACATGCACAGTTAATGTTTGGGGAGTGTTTACAATTTTACAGGGGGAAATCTTCGTCTGGTTCAATGTTATATTAATTATTATTGTGGAATGATATTCACAAAGATGGAATTCGCACTTTCTGCAATTTCAGACATTTTTAGATTGTTTTAGAAAACAATCCGTCTGAGCCACAGATCCCAAAAATTGAAATATCCTTACTTTTCAACGGAGATTTGATTCAAGAAAGGATACTGCAACTTCTTTGGGTAGGAAGAAAATTGGCAGCAGCTGGAACTAAACTCACAATCTCAATTTTTGGGTCAAATCAACTTACCAATCACACTCAGATTAGTCACTTTCATTGCTTCTGTTCAGTTGCAGTTCTGGTACACTAGCAAAAGCATAATGGGGACCAGTTCCCAGTCTAGTCCAAGTAACTGAACTGCATACTCTCTATTTTGTATAATGGCCTCTTATAACATACATGTATGTGAATATGGTTGGGTGACCACGTCTGAATGTCTGAGCTGATTCATGTAAATAATAATCCTCCTAGGTCCCAATTTCTTTGATTTTTCCAAGTCCAATATCCATGTATATGTATGCTGCTCCTTTAATTACAGGGCTTTATCGCTCCATTCTCTCAGAGTTGACGAGCCTCGTTAGTATTTTTGTTGGGGTACAGCCTAGGCCCACCAGTAGGCCTATTGACGTTTTAGAGAACAAACTATTGACAATGTCAACAATTTTACATTCACTCACAACATACACTTTCATCTTGTTTTCACATGTTCACGAGTTGATCTCTGACTGAGAAATTGGCCAGGCATGCAAAGCGTAACTGCCAACAGCAAACCATCTATTATTTCAACCTCCATGGTCAAACATAGGGGCCTACAATGAAGGAAGGAATTAAATTCACACGTGTTACAGTTACATGTAGTAGGCCAAGGCCTAGGCATGGTAGGCCTAGGTACTAGGCCATATTTAATACTTCCAGTTCTAGAAGCAAGGCCCTAGTTACTACATGTAGTACCACTGACTAGGCCCATGCTGCAGCTTGAGTACCTCCAGCCTCCCCAGCCAGCATGTCCGGCCGCCGACATTCTACATGTTCCAGATGTCATGATGATAAAATAGGCTGGAATGAGATGAATGCGGCTACAGCCTGGCCTAGCCTATGGTACAAGGTAGCCAAATTTCTGTTTACGGTCCTAATCCTTATGATTATTAGGCGTAAGTTTTCTTAACCGATTAATCTTCCGGAAAATCCAATGATTTTATCATGTTTGACTGGTCTATGCTCATGCTGCGCTACTGCATGCATATGCCGTGATTACACGTGGTTATCAGAAAATCATGCGCATGCATCGTGTGCATGCACACCGCATGTTAAAATCGGCTATGAACCTCGCGTGTCACTAGCCTGAATGTGCATGTACCCAGCCTCTCACGCCGACCCTAACCATGCCAAGCCGGGCGTGAATTTCACCTGCAAGTTCGCCCTTTCTTATACTATTTTTTGACAAATTCAAACCTCAAAGTATCACTCACCCGTTAGGCACTGAATATAGCTTTCCTCGCTTGCCTTTTGCCCGCTTTGAGAGAAATCTTTCGCACTGACACGCCACTCCTTCCCGTACAGTATACTAACGGTGCCGTATCCGTGCTTATGTGTGTATTTGGTGGTTAGCTGGCGACCGCCAAAACATCGTCTTGTGATATGCAAACTAGAGGAGGGGCTTTCATCAGGCGTCGGACAACTATAATTGGTCCGTTATATTACGTTCCATAAGTAGGCGTCAATCAGCGAGGGGGCCAAAGGCGGCCCAGCAGGATTTATGAATGAATCGTACGAGCCGGGCCACGAGGCCACAAAAATTGTATCAATTGATCCGGAACTGGGATAGAGAATATCCGGGATGTAGAAGTAGTTCCGAGTTTCATCCTCCTCTCGTTTTCTCGACCTTTCAGACATATTTGTTCCCTTCCCACTATAAACTCCCTGAAATGGTCAAATGGCAAAACGGGACTGCCAAATTATCTTTAAATATCTTCATTTTAAGTAAGCAAATAAAAGCGTCAGGCAATCTGTAAATCTTTCCACCCGGTTTACTGTGAATTTCTGAAAAATCCATGTATGGTAAAGTTTTTGTTAATCAGAGCATGGAGGTAGAATCACCATGATCAGAGGTGCTCTGCGCGTGCGACGAAGTACCGCCCCCTACATTTTCCCGCGACAGTCTGGCTCCCCGAACCAGTAACAACGCAAACTCACAACTGGTGGTCTTTGTTGTTTTCACCACACTAACAAAATGGCAGCTTCCGTGAACGCGAACGAGTTAGGAATGCTTTCGGAATCTGAATGAATTCTGAAGCAACACGGCCTCAGCCTTAGTTCAGATCTTCTCTTTTCTAATCAAATGTCGCCATGTTTAGAATTTTTAAGAATTTAGGGTGTCTTGCAGAACTTAATAAATGCAACAGGGTTGTTGAAAAAAGGTGCTTTGCGAGTAAGAAATACGCCGATACATTAAACTTGCCCAAAACAAGTTTTGAGCTTTGGGGCGCCGGAAAACGTGAAGAAGATGTACGAAGGGTGAGATGTCATTTTGCTCGGATGAAAAATTGTCCTGACGCCAATTTGAGGCAATCCTTACTTTTAGGACCCTGCTACTACTTCAACATTTGAGCCTTGTTTTCTACTGCAGAAAGAATGCTGCATCCTGATATCACTTCAGCCAGCTAGCGGTTGTGTCAAGAAAAATTTTAAGTAGGCCTAGGCCTTAATCCAGGATTTCCTGACGAATTTTTCTCATGCCCAGATTCGTGTCTTTCCAACACTTCTTTTCAACACTTCTGTAATGACTGACCTTTATTGATATGATGTATCATGTAAAAAAAATGAGGCTGGATGCAACTCTTTCTTTCCATCTGATCATGCTGATTTTCATAATTGTGTGAAAGGAAGACTTCTAAAAGCTGCAAGAGCAATTTGGAACTGATTGCTGATGCACAATTTGTAAGAAGATGAACAACTAACCTACACTGAAACAAAATGTGGTGTCCTCAAAATAAGGGTTGCGAGTTTGAGTCTGTTCTCTTTATATATTATGTCAGATATGTTTATAGTCCCCAGACTTGTTCTTGTTCAGGGAGATAAACTTGCATTACATTAGAAGAGACAGAGGGAAGCTGAAGTACACGGTATTCAAAATCTTTCAACAATTAAGTGCACATTCATGATTCACATCATGATTATGCCAGATGTCTAAATAATCTTTGTCTCTCAGTTTAATGTATTCCCATCATCACCTTTCTTATATTGTAAGATATGTAAGTACCATTCTTTTCTCAGATTTTTTAAATTGCTGTAATTTAGAATTCAGAAAAGATTCTTTTTATTGTTATTATTGTATTTGATTGATCCGATTTTTAAATATTATGGAGTCTTGAAAATAATTGTAATTAGTAATGGGTAAATGGACTGATAATTTACTGTTTTTTCATGTTTTGTTCTGTATATGTGTAATTTTGTAAGTTTGTCCATATATGTACTTAAGGGACCCCAATGGAAATAAACCTGTTTAATTGGCTTTCTTGGATTATCCCAGAATGAATCAACCATATCTTATCTTCTCTGTGTACGACTGTTGCTTAGTTGATTCATTTCTGAATAAAATGGTAATAATAAAAGTAGATTTAAATAAGCAAATAATAGCATACAATGCACATATTGTTCCAATGCTAAAGTAAAAATATAAAAGCCTTTACTAAATCAATCTACTTTTGTTTCAGTTTGCATGCAAAATCTGTAAGTTTTCTAAATTTCTACTTTCTTTGAAGATATGTGGTTTTTCTGAGCTCTACTCATGGCAGGAACAGCAGACAAAGAGAAAGCACTTCTGCCTGCATGATGGTCCTCCGTATGCCAATGGAGATCCACACATCGGCCATGGTCTGAATAAGGTATGGTGCAGTTCAAAATGTTGTCATTTTTATTTTCATATGAGAAAGTAACCCTTCTTGTATAAAGGGCAGAAATTATCCTTCAATTTGTTTTGAAAGATACTCAAAGATGTCATCAACCGCTACAAACTATTGCGAGGCTACAGCATCCATTACAAGCCCGGCTGGGATTGTCATGGGCTACCCATTGAGCTGAAAGCACTTTCAGAAAATGAGGACGACTTCAGGAAGCTAAGTCCTCCAGAAATCAGAAAAAAAGGTAAAATTAATTGCTTAGATTCATTCATTTCATTTTCTTTCTTTTAAATCGTGGCCCGAAGGCCAATTCCATGAGACAATTCCATTAAAAAGTTGATAAAAAAGGTGTTAAAATTGCATGGACTATATATTTAACATAAAAATGACAATAACAGTAACAAAAAAGGTGATAAATTACATGGAATACATGTATATACATGTATTACACATAAAAATGACAGTGACAGTAGCAAACATTAAAAAACATCCAACACATAAACACCCCTCAATTTAGCGAGGAAACAAACATTCGATAAATTTAAGAATTGATGTACAAGCAAGTTGTGCACTGAAACAGAAAAAGGGGGGAAAAAAGGGTTTTCAGACACTTCGGGCATTTAGAATGCCGATAAAGTAAGGAAAAGGGCTCATTTGGAAATGCTTGGTTCTAGTTGCTATCCGGGTTATTGCATGACTGTTCCTTAGGTTTTTACCATGACGGACGTCTTGTAGAGGGAAGTAGATGAGACGTTCTTGGGTTAGTGGCAAATGCATTGGCTAATTTTGTACAATATTCAACTCTGCTGTCACCTTACCGTCTGAACAAGTTGTTCAGGGTCACCTAGAAGTTGTTCACACAGCTGATTTCACACAGCTCTGCCTTATTGCTCTGTACATTGATAAGCATTTCTCATGATTCAGTGCCATCAAAGTTGACTGAGTTATTGAAGCTTACATATATTTACGTACCTTTTCATTTTTAGCCAGAAAATTTGCTGAGAAAGCAATTGACAGACAGATGAAGGCTTTTAAGAAATGGGGCATCATGGCTGACTGGTTAGTGAGCATTATTTGATCAGTTTAATTTTAATATGGATCTTGGTGGTCATAATGACTAACAAGTATTGAAAGACAGAGGTTGTGTGCATTCATTTGAGAATTCGACATAATGCACCACTCTGTTCTATACATAAGTTCACGCTGTGTTCCTCAGTGACTAGTCCACAGAATTCCACTTCACTGTGTTTGTTTCTCACATGGAGCCTATAGGCATTATTGCTCATGTGAAGTCGTATCTTAGATACCATTTCTCATCCGTTTAATTTCTCCAATACAAAGTGACGCCGTTCTCTGTTTTATTATGCACAGGGACAGTGGCTGCTATTTCACATTCGACAAGGAATATGAAGCATCTCAGCTCAGGCTTTTCCATCAAATGTATCAGAAGGTAGGCCCAAACGATGCCGGGGGGGCAGCCAACCAACCAATTTGGCATGTAATGCAACCTTGCAAAGGAGGCACACACCTTTGGGTGTATTTTTTCTAAGAAGCTCTTTGAGGTTTCACCTGTTTATGTTGTAAAAATTGCAAGGTATAACCAAGAAACAAATCTCTGAGCTGTGTACATTCATGCAAGCGTGGGTCCTTACATTCACCTGTACTTCTTTTTTTCCCTTTTGCCAGGGTTTCATCTACCGTGATCTGAAACCTGTGAACTGGTCTCCATCATCAAGGTAAAGTTTGATTCTTGTAAGGCGTAATAAATAAGCCATTCATTCTTCACAAGTGTGTAGAGTATGTGAGTGGCAGATGTGAGGAAACTTGCAGGGGGAAGAGGACAAAGGACCGTCAAGTTTTAAGGTGGGTAAGAAAATTTCTGACAAAACCATTCCAAGGAAGATCTCAGGAATCAACTCGATCTGCACAATCGTGTGAGTAGAGCGAAAACTTGACTAGGTGAGTTTCCTAACTCCAATGGGTGTCATATCCCTTGATTGCCAAGTACAAAGGATGTGCCATTGATTTACTATCTTATGGAGTTTCTAGCTTACTCAGGGAGATTTCTAACCAAAAAATTGTTGTTAGAGTTCAGAGCTACTGGTGATCCACTGTGTGAGTCTGAGTTTTCTCCTTTTACATGTGTTTGTCTCCCACATCTCACAGGACAGCACTGGCAGAGGCTGAGCTAGAATACAACACCAACCACGTGTCCCAGTCCATCTACATCAAATTTCCAGTGTCAAGGCTTCCTGGGAAGTTGGCAGATTATATATGTAAGGACTGTTTTCATGGAGTCCAATGTAAATCAGATCAAATACTCCTAGAACTAATATAGCATTGAACCAAATAAAAGGGTTACGCACACACGCACATACATATACTTTTCCTCCTTCATGGGGGTTTTGTCTTAAGTTGTAATTTTTACAAAGACAAGCAGCTTTTTGATGAGGTTTGAAGTATTTTGAGAAAAGATCGAAAGTGGCAGAGAGGGGAACAAATTTGAGTCTAGAGAGCTGTATCTTGAAATTGAGCACATCACAAGCCTACTCATCATCATTTCAACACTTTGTAATGTCTGCCACCTAAACAGTGTTCTAGTTAGGACCATTTTTGTGCCGGGTAAATTTTTGGATTGCAAAGCATAGTGAGCACAGTTCTCAATGCTTTCTGATGCTTGAAATACAATCCAATTGGTACATTTAAATTTTCAGCAATATTTCAGTTCATTTTTTGGAAAATCCGTGCTGGGTGGCACAGCCAATTTCAACCCTGAGTGCCGAGCGGAAATTTGCAGTACTGGGTGGTGCCGCCCACCGCGGCTTGAACCCTGCTCCTAAAGATTGTTAGAAATCCTGTTCCTCTCCAGATATTGAAAGAATCTGACCATTCATTGAGTATTGAAATTCCATTTTGGGGCGTTTGGGATCTTAAGCCGATTTGTATGCAGCTATATGGACCACCACTCCCTGGACCATTCCAGCCAATGAGGCCATCTGCTACATGCCGGCCAAAGACTATTGCGTGGTGCAGTGTACAGAGACTAGGGAGAGATTGCTCCTAGCAGCTGAAAGGGTCGAAGAAATGGCACAGATTTGGGGGAAGAACTTTGAGACGATAGTTTACTTTGAGGGTAAGCAAGTTGCCTTTCACGTGATCACATCAGCCTTCCATCCATGTACATTTGGGGAAATGCATATAGAGTAGATTGAGTTTGGCTGGACAGTGGATTGTGACAACCGAGTGAGACTGCTTGGTTTGTGGTCCTTTATCAACACAAGCATATAGTGCTCCTATTTGGGAGTTTGTACAGTGATGTTTTGTACTCTTATTGGTTTACGTTATATCGTTCAGGAAGATGTGGGAATCAACCTGGAAGTGGTTTATCACAACCAGGCCCAATCAGTAAACTGCAAAACAGAAGGCAGAATTTGTCTGATCAGAAAAATCTCTCTCTTCGTGTTCAAAAGGAGGGGGCTGCCTTTGAATGAATGTTTGTCTAAATCTCATGTATGGCATCTTACATCACAAACGGCCCATTCAGAATTTCGCTGAAAGCTGTTGTTTGGGGATGAAATGAGTAGTGCAGAAATTGGTAAGCTGAAACATTGCTCATCACTCTTACTAGGTTCCCACCTCGAAGGGGGTTGCTGCCTGCATCCCGCTATCCCGGGGAAGACAGTTCCCCTATTGCCAGCTGCCCACGTCAAGATGAGTATGGGCACCGGACTTGTCCATACAGCACCAGCTCATGGACCAGAGGACTATGGGGTAGCAATCCAGTTCAACCTGCCAGTGGTGAGTGCCCTCTGGAGGGGGGACTAACTCTCAGTGTAGATGTCCATGAGACAAAACAGAGGGGTGCCACACATCTTGATGAGTTAATGGGTTTGGACCTGTAAAGATCAGTTTAGAATTCTTGAGTGTACATGTAGTCTAAATGAAAAGTAGCATACTGAGGAAGTGTCCCTAAACAGACAGGGGAATCTATTATCTACCCTTTTATAGCAAAATTAAATTTCTGAACTTTCAGAAATGGTAGACCATTGCCTATAATTTCCATCCAAAAGATATCCTGGTATGCATACTCAGAACAAGGGAAGAAAAAAGAAAAACAGTTTGCAGTTTCAGTAATATATTACACAAAATAAAAATATAGTCGGAAGGGCAGCCAAATTGTCCAAAAGAACTTACTTATTTCTCTAACCAGGCCAAAGCAGAGTTGAGTCAAAGTTGTCCACCAATACACATTACAAATGGCTGAGGAAAATGACCAGAATCTCTCACGACCAACGCCCAGTCTCAAATCCACGCCGGGCTGAAACTACAGGAGGGCTTCATAGAAAAGCAATGAGGGGTCCAACTAAAAAGGTTCCAGTTGTATAAATATAAAGAATGACTAATCTTATATGGTATCCCATTGTGTGGCCACAGCCAGGGGCCCTTCTGGCCGAAGCCAGGCAATGGTATGCGAAACATTCAAACTGAAAGCTGCTAAGGCTGGTACAAATTACTTGGATTGCTACAATACGGAAGGGTCTAATTGTTCGTGAAAGAATCTTGAACAGGGAATCTCTTGGCATTTTAATAATTAGAACTTTTTACATGTTGAACGTGCTTAATTCACAAATATGATTTATCAATGCAACTATCTGCAATGTCCCACTGCAGGGGAGTCGGGTTGGCAAGGTAGTTCTTTCCCCCGCCTTCCACCTCTGTGGTCCCAGGTTCGATTCCCGGCCCGGTCCACATGTGGATTGAGTTTTTCAGTCCCTACCTGACTCTGTGGGTTTTACCCAGACTATTCCTCTGGGGTGTTCCTCCCACCTCTAAAACCATAACTGCTTCTTTCTGTCTCCACTTTACTGATGTATGTAAATGTGGGTTGTTTGGCGGCTGCCCGAGGTGCCCTTGTATGCCATTGGCTCAACCATGTTTAAATGTATTCATTGTTCCATGCTTAATGTCTTCATTGTACAGTGCATTTGAACATATCTATATGAAATTTGCGCTTTATAAATGAATAAATTATTATCATTATTATTATCGGCCCATAATACCGAATAATGGAGAACCTAATATTATCGAACATACCAAGAGTTTTTGATGAAGTACCTTGGGTGGCTACTTGTTGTACACTCTCTGCTGTGTTTGGTTCAGCATTATGCAAGGTGGCGCTGTATGGTACGTGGTATCTATCCCATAAAGCAGGGTAATTGAGCACAGTGCAGAAATTGAAACCCGGCCAATCACCAATTTCAAACCAAGTCTGAATGAGGATATAATGATCGACAAGTGCGTGTGTCATTTCTTACAGCACTGCATGGTTGATGAAGATGGCATCTTTTCACCAGAAGTTGGCCAGCATTTGGCAGGGAAGAATATCCTCACAGATGCCAACGATATCGGTGAGGAAGAATTCATGTATTTTTACCACTTTTCATATTGTGATGTATAACTGGATCCAGGTTTTAACAGGTATAAAACTTGTTGAGGGAATTATATGAAAATTATTTTGTAATACGGGCAATTCACAGTAGTGCGCCACCAAGAGTTTGCAACGTGTTGGCCAATCATAATGCGCAAAATTTGTCGACCCTTTCCAAACGCGCATTGAGTCAACAAATTTCGGCCATTGTGATTGGCCAACGTGTCACAAACTCGTGGTGGCGCACTATTGTGAAAAGGCTGTATTGGGACTGAAAAAGCATAATAAGTCTAATTTTCCAAAAGTTGGGGCAGTAGCACAAACGTATATAAAAAACCTTGGACTTGCACTGCCTTGGTATGAAATAGAGGCCTACCAGCAGCCATTTTACCGAGCCGAATACAAATGTGCAGGTTGGTTCGCTTCTATTGACGCCAGGGAGACACAAAGGCGGGCAATGCCGGGCAAGCTTTGTATTCGGCTCGGTAAAATGGCCGCGAGTGGATTCAATGATCTCTATAAGCTGATTAAGGGCATTGCCAGTCCAGATTTTTGTATATACGTCCCTGGGCAGTAGTAATAAATGATCCATTTAGCTCCAGATTTTTATGCTACATGACATTGATAACTTTGAAATCTGTGTTTTAGAAATTGTCCATTGTGGACTCCATTTCAAGAAACAATTCCTGTTCCTTTTCCTCAGTGATTGAAATGCTAAGAGCCAGTGGGAATTTACTGATGCAGTCTAATTATATGCACAGCTACCCGTATGATTGGAGGACCAAGCAGCCAATCATCATCAGGCCAAGCAAACAGTGGTTCATTAACACAGGGGCAATCAAGGACAGAGCCATGGTCTGTATTGAAAGCAATGGAGTAATCTTGCAAATATCTTCTTGCCTGCCTATTTTGTCTGTAGTTCTGCTTGTCTTAAATGTCCCGATACATTTCTTCTCACTTTTCATGTGTTGTCATGGAAATGTTACATTTGATACCGAGTGAGGATTAATAGAGTACAACTGTATTTTTTTGCTTTCTAATTACTGAGTGGATTTATTTGTGTGTCTTGAATTCTTTGAGCTGAAATTCTGCATACATTCGAGTTATGTGTAGATATACCCATAGAAACATCAAACCTAAATTTCACCTTTGTAAAGATTTTTAAAACAGGTCCAAATCCTCAGATTTTAATTTGATTTTTTACGTGCACCATAGGGGTTAGGGTTAATCACTGTTACATATTTCTTGAAATAATAAAAAGTAAAAGATTGCCAGTGATAAATTGTAAACTTACCCCCAAACTGTAGCCATGCTGATGTATCTTTTATGTTTCCAATTGAAATGTAGTAAAACATGCACAAAAGTGATTAAATTGTACTAAAAAATTTGGGCAAATAAAGTTTTAATTTTCATGTTTGCCACAGGAATGTCTCCAAACTGTTGAGATGCTACCAAGTCATGCTCTGAACAGCATGAGAGCACAGCTAGAAGGACGCACGTTCTGGTGTATATCAAGGCAAAGGGTGTGGGGTGTCCCCATTCCGGTATTTTACCACAGAGAGACAGGCGAACCATTCATTACGAGGTGTGGCTTGCTTTTATTTGTGGTTTAATTTTTCGTTTCTGCGGTGCTGTGTCCATTAGTCCTTATGAAACACTTGAAGTCCATAGATGGAAATTCCCTTCATAGCAAGAGATCGTTTGAGCTGACCTAATAGAACTTGCAGTACTGATGAACATGACCAACTATCAGCTACATATGCAGTTTGATTCGCAGTGTTGTTTGATCTGTAACTTCTATCTGTGTCAAATCATGTACAGAGTTGTTGGGTTCTGTGTACAGTGAACTTGCAGGGAATGACCAGCCACCACTTAGAGTTTCCTACAAATAAGTAGATGTGGAGTTCTGATTCTAAGTTAAGCTTGATTTTATTCAAGTCCTGCACAGAGTCAGCCAACTGATGATGACATTTCTGTTTGAGGATACAAATTCTATGTGTCATAAAAACCACAGGTGTGGCTATTTAGGCTATGGGTTTGTCATCAGTCATGACCTATTCTCTCTAATGGTTCCGTGACAATGGATATATATAGGTTATACACTGGTGAATAAGTGGTCACTGGCTTGTTTTTCTGAGACATTTGTTTATATTACTGGTTTTTTTTAGTGAAAGTGTCAACCATGTGACTGATCTAATACAGAAGCATGGCAGTGACTGCTGGTGGGAGTTGCCTATGGAAGAACTTCTCCCTGATAATGTGGCAGCAAAAGTGAGTGCATTGTCAGATTTGGGGTAAAACTGTGACTTTTTCAAAAGAAAACTTCCCACTAATAATTTTTTTCCGGGGGGAGGGGTTGAATGGATGGACTATATTTCCTTTCATAGCCTTCATAAACTCGTTGAGTTTCGGTAGTTTTTTCTGTTTTCAAAGGGATTTTATTTCTTTGGATCTTTCCAGTGTAGTTTCAAGTCCAGTGAGTTTGTGAAGGGAGAAGACATCTTGGATATATGGTTTGACAGTGGTTCATCCTGGTCACATGTTCTCAAAGGTTAGACAAGTGTGGTAGTGTCAGTTAGATAATTTGAATCAGTGATTGTTTTTACCTGAAAAGCATTGGAACATTTTATGCTTTGCTCTTGAAATTTTCTTTCACTTGAAACTGCAAAGATAATATTGTTGCATTTGATCGGTTCATATATACATTTTATTATTAATCATTTCTGGTAATGTCACCAGTGATTCCTCAAAAGCACCCTAGGCACTGTAGCTCGCAAGCCTGAAGAAACCCGTAGAGAGGAGACAATGAGAAGCAGTTACAGTTTTAGAGGTGGGAGGAAAACCCCAGAGGAATATTCTGGGTAAAACCCACGGAATCAGGTAATGACTGAAAACCCAATCCACATGTGGACCGAGCCAGGATTCAAACCCAGACTGCAGAGGTGGAAAGCGAGGAATGAACCACTGCACCAACCTGACTCCCATTTGTGTAACATTCACTATCAAGTTGTATGAAGAAATTGAAGGCCAATTGCATGTTACTATATACAAAGGCCAGTTCAGTCTCAATGCCTATGCAGAGCGAATATCATGTCAGGAATGTTCATGGTGACTTTACTAAAGTTGACATATGTTCGTTTTCAAATTTACTCCGTATGCATGTACATATGCCACAATGTTAGAAATTCAAGTTTGTATTCACTGTCACGCCAAACAAAAATCGGCTTGTGGAGCAAACAAGGAAACTGAAGGACAGAGTTGTGATTTCCTCTTTCTCTATAAAGATGCAAATGAGCAGGCAGATCTGTACCTTGAAGGGGAAGACCAGTACGGTGCTTGGTTCCAGACATCTCTATTAACAAGCGTTGCTGTCAATGACAGGGCACCTTACAGGTAGAACTTCTGTTTTCGCATCTTTAGCTGCAACTGATCCTTTTTTCCATTGAAGGTAACACATGCGAAATATTTTTGTTCTTGGATTCTGTCTGGAGCTTGCCTCTCTGGTGGGCTTTCATCTAGGCTTGAAACATCTGTCTGCCCCTTTCCAGGTAAGTGTAAAAACTGCCTGTCCTATCCCAGGAAGAGTTTTGATTTTGAACTGACACTCCTTGGTTCTATCTGAGGCCATATTTCCACTACACCCAGAAATGTGGGCGGAAATACGAAGACTTGTTCACCAGTGTTAAATATTCATGTAAAATAATGGGGTCTTGTAACTTTTGAACAAGCTAAAACTACCTGTCCAAATTTGTTTCAGCCTGTCCTCCGGACAGGTGGACAGATGTCTAAGATGAGACACTGCATTCCACTGCACCTCACTGTGAAATAAGGGTGTGGAAGACATTATGCCAGTTTTCCTCCTCGTCCAGCCAATATCTTGGCCTCTTCGTCAGCAAGTTCCTCCTCATAGTCTTTCATTTTGTGTTGACTGTGACTTTCTGTGTGACCCTTTCATTTGCTGATCCACTAATTCTGTGGCAGGAATCTTCTGGTGCATGGCTTCACGTTAGACAGCGAAGGGAGAAAGATGTCCAAGTCCTTGGGCAACGTGGTTGATCCTGACGTCATTGTGAGTGGCGGAGAGGTATGTCTGTGCATGTGTTCGTTCTATTTATGAAAAGTGAGATTTGAGCGTGAAGGATGAAAGACATAAGTGAAGAATACCGGCATATTGCAGAAATCAAGGGTGCCCTGGAAGCCACTAAATGGCCATGATCAAGAGGGAGAAAGACAGGAACTCACTGCAAGAATAAAGTAGTTTATGGGAAGTGATATGAAATCCAAAAAGGTTGATCGGAAAAGGTCGTCTCTGTAAAGGCATAGATTGCATTGGAAATTTCATTAATCCTGTGGAAACGATTCAGAGCATACCAAGCTATCTGCCTATAATTGCACATTCAACACTTTGCATAATTTTTTATTAATAAATTGATGTATTCCCTGATCCCTTATATTTTGAAAACAGAACAAAAAGACAGATCCTGTTTACGGTGCTGATGTGCTGAGATGGCGTTTGGCCGAGTCCAGCTGGTTGACCAGGGTCCAAATAGGGCCAGAACTCTTCGCCATGACCAACCAAAGTATTCTAAAGGTACGTGCAACAGAATCATAGCTTTCAGATGTGTGCAGAATGCCTGATGAAAGATTTTACACCAAAAGATAAAGTTTGTACATTTTACTGTATTATGTCTTTTCTTTATTTCCCCATCATTTCCACCTTCCCTTTATATAACAGGTTAGGAATACCATTCGCTACTTCTTAGGCAACCTCTATGACTTTGACCCCTCGGTGGATCTTCAACCTCATGCTGACCTCCTACCCATTGATAAATACATGCTACATCTTCTCTATGACTATGGGTCAAAGGTCACGGCAGCTTATGACAGCTACGAGTTCAGCGAGGTCACGGCTACCATCACAGAGCTTATTCATGGCAAAATATCAGCTTTTTACTTGGATACCATGAAAGACAGGTAAAAAAATTCAACATCACATGTTGATCACCTCTTATCAGATTTGAAATCTTGTAAGCCCTACATAGAGAGCTGTGAATAATCAACTGCAAGACAGCAGATTCCCTAATTTAGCAGTATGTTCTCATTGCATTCTCTGTTTTTGTTTCATCAAGGAAAAATTGGAAAATGCTCAAGGGAATTACATTACTTTCTTATCCATTTGAAGTGGTTTTGCATTCACCTTACTGAAAATCTCATTAACTATGCTCAGTGGCTGTACTGTCAATGACTTTCGGTTCAGGTGGAGGGAACCAGCTCTCATTGGTGTTTTCAGAGTTTATAATCCGTTTCATGGATCTCCCTGATCTTTCAAAATTTGCTGAGAAATTGTTGGAGGATTTTTCAACATTGAGGACAGGCAGAGCCCGGCAAGACTAGTTCCCTATCAAAAATGCTGTGAGAGTAAGAATCCACCAATCACTCCCTTGGTACCTAGAATTGCCTGAGATACTTTGTTTTCACAGGTTGTACGCTGAAGTGTTCGATTCCCTGGAGAGACGTTCTTGTCAGACGGTCCTCTACCACATGTTGGAAGTCATTGTCAGGTCAATCGCTCCCATCACTCCCCACTTGGCAGAAGAAGCATTCTTGCACAGTCCAGGTGAATCAAATTCTCCCCATCCTACACAGCATAAAGCAAGGTTTTATGGTTTTGACATCAGTAACATGCTATAATACTAATATTTCCAGAAACTATTCTAAATGGTTAGGCATTTTGAAAAATTTAGTTGGAGATTATTTTCATCGGACCAGCTTAGGTGAGTCTTTAGGATTTTCAACAGACAAAGGGTCATCATCAAGGCTGAGGCGTTTGATTTGTGTTTGTCGTTTTTTTTGATCATATCCATTTGTCAGATGCTGTGAGCATCTTCAAGACTGGGTGGTTCCATTGTGACCGCTCATGGCACCAGCCTGAGCTGGCTGTTGTGTTTGGAGCCCTGTGTGGTATACGGGAAACCTTCCTGGCCACAATACATGCACCGCAGAGTCGCGAGTATGACGTTACAATTTGCACCAGTGACCCACAGTTGTTGGGTTACCTTCACGTGAGTAAAACATTTTGCACTGAGGGGCTTTTTTAAAAGCTTGTCACCTTTTCATCCTGAACTGTTGGAAATATTTGAAGACCAAAGGCAAAGTTTCCATCAGTACTTTGTGAAAGTTTCTCCTGTAGTTTTTACTTATTTTGGAGAAGTGTAAGCATAAATAGCTGTTTGATATTACAGATTCTCAGAAAGTTCTGTACTGCTAATATAAATGCTTACGCTCTCTAGGAGCTCCAGCAAGAAACAACCTCCTGCACATCCCATCTCAGTGAACTCATGATGGCCTCTTTCACAACTGTCGCCACGGAGACGGAGATGCCAAGAACAGAAGGAAGCATACATGTTGACAGTAGCATTGGAGTTCCATTGTCGGGTATGTTCATTCCAAAAATTTATTTTTGAACTGTAATTAGCAGGTCCTTTAAAGCCTGGTCATTCGTAGATGACCATATGCCAATAAAAAAGCCCTCAAATCCAGACCAAAATCCTGGAGCAATACAGAGCTGGAGGGGTGTTTGGTAAATACTTGAAGGAGAGTAAAGGAATTCAGCAGATTGTCTGTATTTCCCACACAGCTATTAAGAGTGGTTTTTATTTAATTTGACTTGACTTTATTTGATGTATTTCTTGCAGATGTGGAATCATATACCAACTATAGTCTCCTTATTCAGCCTGCCAGTCACTATCATTGCAATCGATGCCGTAAACACACAGCAGAGGTGCCCAGCCAACCATGCAGCAGGTGCCTTCAGGCAATGTCTGGGGGCTGGGAATGAGACTACTAGACTAGACCATGATGACCCTCAATGCATATGGCAGTATTTGATCGTTGACTACCCCTTATCAACTTGCCATTAGTGTTGAGAAATGGACTTGACATATGCTTGCTGTCATCAAAAATAAAAACCCTCTAAAGGGTGGGGAAAAATTGGAATAGAAGAGGTAAAAGCCTTCCCAACATTTGTAATATGTCAGATAATTTTCAGTTTTAAAATTAAGTTCAGAGAGTTGCTGTAAATGGTGATGGTAACCAGCAGTGAATTGGTGGCTTTGTCATGCAACAGCCAACTACAGTTTCATCGCAGGATGTTGCAAGACGGATTAACCAAACTGAGCAAAACATTTGGTCTGCATCACAATCCGGTGATACTGGATGAGACGTTGAATTAACTATCCGAAACCAACAATAAACCAAAACAACACACATGGGAACTTGTCAAGACATCAGAATTTGGGGATCACTTCACGGATGGATTCATCTTGACAACTGCATCTCTATTCGAGATGCATCTTGACAAATACACCTCCATCCGAGAAACATGGACGTACTGACACCATTATTAACAGTCAAAGATGTTTACATTCCTTGGCTACTAGAAAGGGTTTCACAAAAACGCGTTTGAATGATGCCGTAAATGCTACAAATTCTTTTGGTTTGCCCCTTGTTCATTACTGATTCTTTTTAATTCACAGCTATACAAATGTATTTATAGTTTTTTAAGAATTGTATTTCTAGCAATAAATCTGCAGAACTACATATGTACAAATTTTTTCCTGCTGTTGTGTTCATGTGCTATTATGATGCGTCTAAAAGTTTCGGATTACTGTTTAATCTACTGTACAAATTAGTCTACATGTATACAAGAGTGCTTTTCAGACAGTACAGTTATGAAGGGTTGATGCAATGAATTTTTCTTTGATACACATTGTGCAACTTTCTAGTCCTGAACCTATTTGAGATCCAGTTTGTTTAATAATTATGTTAAAAATGCACTTTTAAGCATTTCATATTTTCCGTGCTTTGTAGACAACTGAGGGCACTGTTGTAATTTCAATTTGCCATGGGAAGACACTTCATTTTAGGGGTGTTGCTGTTCAAATGTTGAACCCGACATTTGGTCGTTGAAATCGTTCAGAAAAAGTTACTTGTGGACTTACTGCCATGTATTTATTCAACAAAGCAAGAAAATTTATGGCAGCAAAATATTCCAAACGTTAGCAAAATATAGCGCTGAAGTGGCCGTAACATTAGTTGCGGCCTGGAATCATATGAAGATTTCGCTCATTTCAGGCTCCAGAATACTCTTTGAAACAGCAAAACACAAATTCTAAAAAATGGTCCAATGGGACACATGGGTGCAAAAAATTCTTTAAAATGGTCCACGTGGGTGCATTTGCAAGGATTTCATTTAAATTTTTACATTGCTTAGGCCCTTCAAGTGCACTGTAAAATACATGTAAAAGGAGCAAATACCACATGACCATTAGGTTTGGAGAGTGAGGAGCTGTCCAGTCACCTCGGCCTCCCCCATCTGTTGCATTTCCCCTCAGTCTCCCTGTCCTTGAAGAGCAGTGGCGGGGAGGCAGGCTGGAGAATGACTCCTTGGGTCTTCTTGGCTGACCTGCGTCCTGGGCCTCTCTTTCCGCTCCCACCTTGCCTGCCTCTGCTGCCCCGCCCACCCTCCTCGGTGGATTTGGGTACATGGATGGGCATCCAAGGAATAGGATTGTAGAAATTTGGGATGGGGTAAGCACCAGTGTCATAATAACCTGAAGTAGTGCCAGAAAAATTAAAACAGTTGATAATTGATTAGGGCATAGCTATACAAACACACTTCTAAGGATGCATATGTCCTCACAGTGGTCAGGATTTGAACCTGCGATAATTGGATGTAGACAAAACATCCCCAAATTATAAAGATTTATTGAAAATCTAAACTCACTATGTTAGAATAAATCCCTGCCAATCAAAATAAAGAAGATAACTGGTTGTGCTGCTACAATGCACAACAAATGGTTTGTGAAGGCTATGAGATGCCAAACTGCAATCTGATTTCTGCATATCTGGAAAAACTCGCCACAAGCTGCACACCAAGAGTTGGTTATTTTCATTGTGAGATGAGCTATGCATGTTGTATGTGCAAAGGTCAAGAAGGTACCAATAAAACCAAAGAAATACTCTCGCTCAGAAGTGCAACAAAACTTAAAAAGATGCAAAAAAGGTTTGACTGTATCAATTTTGGATGGTAATACGGTTCCAGCTTTCTGATTTAATTTATAACAACATTGAAGAGTTGCTTTACATTGCTCCAGTGACTTGTGAACATTTATGTGCTGTGAAAATTGTCTGATCTTGGTATGCACATCGGTAATTGGAATAATTATGCATGAACTTAATACTAGTAGAGGCCAGCTATGACTCTTAATTACAGCTTGACTGAATCAACGATTGTGTGTTCTGCTTTACCTTTCAGCATGCCTTGACTGACACCAAAACTGCTGGGTACCGGCTTGGGCTTCTTACTGGCTTCCTGATGCCACTTCTTGTAGGCCTCCTCTGCCTTGGCTTTGCGGTCCTGTTCTGCCTCAGCAGCTCGGGCCTTGTGTTCCTCCTGCTTCTCCTTATCTTCTTGCTCTTTCTTCTTCTTGTCGGCTAGCCATTTTTGCCTGCTTGCCTAGGTGAAACACCCCCCCCAAAAAAAAGGTCATTCAGTGGTATGGTTAAAAATTACACTTTGCTGACAAAAAGCAACAACATACCTGTCTTCCAGATCAAAAAATTACTGCATAAATTTTCACTTGTCCTAAGAAAAACAGGCAAAGTTATGAAAATATGAAAACAACAAAACAATCCCATAGTAGCAATTTTTTTGCAACGTCCTCATATTTGACAATCTATTCAGACCCATGTGCCATCAATATATCTTAAGAGTGAATGCTAACTTTCATACATCCTCACTCTATTGTATTAAACTATATCTACAAAAATTTCTGCTGTTCATTTGAAAATTCACACCTTAGCACGCTCCAGTATTTCCTGTTGTTTCTTCTCTTTTTCCTCCTTTTTCCGCTGTTCCTCTCTTGTCTTCCTGTTCCTCCTTTCCTGTTCCCTCTTTGTTCTCTCCTCAATCCATTCCTCAACTTTTTCTTTGATGACGGCCTCCTTTTCCTTCTTTTCCCTTTCTGCCTTTGATTTTTGTTTTGCTTCCTCCCTCTCCTGCTTGACTTGTTGCCTCGCGCGTTGACGTTCCTCCTCAGTCTTCTGCACTAACCATTTCTCCCAGGGGGTAAGCTGTGGCTCGGAGGGGGACTTATTAGTGAGGGTATTTGATGAGAAGGAGGAAGTGATTCTGACTGGGGTTGTTTTGGAACTGGATTGGCTGGCAGTCGAGGATGCTGAGCGAGTCCTCGGCTTTGAACGGCTGGATGTTGATGAGGCATTTCGTCGTCTTGCACTTGACTGGCTCGATGCAGAGGCAGATCTGATTCTAGAATTTGGCTGGCTGGACTGTGTTGATGACTTGGAATGGCTTACAGAGGAAGATGGGGGTGATTCAGACCTGTGGTGAATCAAACAGGATAAGTTGTAGAAAAGTTACGTGGATAACAACCCTGACTACTGAGGAAAACAAAATTGCAGCTCAAACACTTTGTGAATATATTGCCAAGAGCTGAGACATGAAAAGGGCCAGAAATCTCAGGTACATGTTCATGTACGTGTATATAGACAGATTTACATACATCCAACAAGGAAGTAGTATATGACAGAAAAACACGAATTGACACTGTGACTGCTCTGCAAAATATTCATCTGCAAGTAATGTTTTAAACTTCCCACTGAGAATGTATGAATCAGTTCTGTAAAATCTTGAGAACGCCATGTGTTTTCCTAACTGCACAGTCCATTCACACGCCATGCTTCCTCCTCTTTTCTCAAAAGAATTATTTCAGTTGGAACACTCATTTGAGTTTGGATACACTTTCAAAACCTTTGGATGAAGCTCAAGTTCTATGCGAATCACCAACCTTCTCTTTCGGGATGTCAGTTTCGAAGATGAGGACGCTGACGAAGCTGATGAGGAAGAACTACCTCCAGAGACATTCTCTACACTGCTGTGAGACAAGACAGACAGCAGTGACCTTGTAGAGTCACCGGTCTGCTCCAGTCCTTGATAACCCCCGCCCACCCCTGGGCGTGCCTCCATGGGGTCTTTGCCGGATGTATTTTCATGACTCTTTGGTGTTGAGTGAGCACGGGGGCTATTTTCTTCGTCACTGTCCATTTCATCCCACATTTGCACTTGTAATAAATAAAAACAAAAAAATTATGACATTTGAAAATTCAAATTTTTGGTTACACTAGAGGGATGAATTCCATATCATACCATCATGATTTTCAAGTGACACAAAAGCTAACAATTTTTCAAAAAGAAGTGCCTTTTAATTTGAGGAGGTACAGATTTAAAACATAGGGTAAACTTGTTGATGTTAGACACTAAAAACTGTGATGGTCTTTCTTTCCCTAAAGAAATGTGGTTTTTGAATGTCCACTGCATTGCATGGTAAGTTTTATTGGGGTGAAATGTAATCCTGGGGAGAAAAACAAGCGAAGACCCCAAATTAAGATCTGAAATCAGAATGGACTATGCCACACAAGGCAAGTACTTGACTCCAGCCTAGTCAGCTAGTAATAATCATGAATTTTCCAATGTCATAATCAACATTAGGGCTGCCTGGAGTTATTCTTGTTTGAGTAACTCCTGCCCTAACATGCCTAATGCTAATGACATCACTTAATCACAAATTTCCAAACGTCAGTCATCTGATCATGTCATGAGTACCAGGGCAGGAGTTACTCAAGCTAAAGTCACTCAAGATGGGGTAAAATACCATTGACCTTATTGACGCACCTGACTGAAAGAGAAAACAACTTTATAAAACTGAAATTCTGCATGCCATAATGTGAGGCCTAATGCAATGACATTCCATGGCCTAGCAGAATGAACATTGTCAGCCCAGTCCGAGTAACTTGGACTGTCATAACCGTACAAATCACCTTTTTAAACATTCGCCCAACCATCATGGCCATGTCCAAATGTAATAACAAAGGTGATTTGTAGGGTCCAAGTTACTCGGAGTCTACTGGTGCCTACATGTATGAGTGGTGGTACTGCCTAAGCTTAAGTTCCAATCACGTGAAACACGGATTTCATGGATATTGAAGTCAACCATGATGTAAGCTACAACTCCAAGGTGAATACAACAAGAAGTGGCGGGGCCACTCTCATCACGGAAGTAGGACAGGAGAGGCGCTGTGCTCACCTACACGTAGTACCAATGTTCTCTGTCACGAGCAACCACGTTGAGTTTGAACTTTACCAAAGCAGCCACCGCGGTGGTTTGCAATTTGAGAAGCGTTTGCTGTGCGCAAATTTTGTATTTACCGCGGTGCAAGCCCTCTACAGGTTGTTTATGGAAATTATAGTCTGGTAGTCAAGCCATCAACAAAATTGTGGCGCACGGGACGTGGACCCAGACCAAATTCGACCCCAAAAGTGAGGGCGATCAGGTGGTTAAAACCTACCTCCAGCTCCATGAAACCAAAGAAGACGTCTTCTTGCCGTTTCACCCACGACACTGTCTCATTTTCCCTTTGCCAACACGGGACAAGCTAAAGATATGATTTTCTTTGGGGCTTTACTGAGTGTAGTAATCCCCCTGTCGCTGCTGGTATGGGCGGTTTCCATGCTTGGATTTACGTACATGGGATCTGAAGGTTTGTGTTCGGCCCCAGGGGATATCGGTTGCAGGTCATCACGTGGCCTACATTATAGTGCTGCACTGGTGTCAGTAGTTGCCTAGTAGCCAGCATTCACTGCATCATAGGGATAACTATAGAGCTATTATATAAAAACTAGAGCGCTGACTCATGTGCAAAGTGATGCCTGATGGGCGCATCCATGTTTGTGCACAATCTGTGGAAAACTCGAAATTTTGTACAGCTTCTATGGCTAACACTACAGTTAGTATTTGCATATCTGAGTCCGTATCCTAAAACGATACATCAACAAAGGCTCAAAGCTGATATGCAAATAACCTGAATGCACAATCGGTAAATGGGCGTTTCATTTTGCTCTACGCCAAAAACACGCAAACGCGTGTGCCTATGCACTATGCATGAATTTTGCTGTGATGGTTTTAATTGCATTTTATCGGTAGGCCTACCCGATGCACACGACAGCTACTGCTCCAGAGCCGTCAACTCACTTAATACTGACTGAATTAAGGGAACGACTTTTTAATTTACATGTAGCTAAACTTATTCATTGAAAGACGGCCATTGAAAGACATGCATACGAAATTGGACGACCTTGCTCAAATGCCAACATTCATTTCAAAGTAATGAGCTATGGATGTAAATAAATGTGCCATTGCTCTCTATGTGCGTGTCTTATTCAAAAGATGTGCTGACATGCGCTTATATTGTACTTGAGCATTGCATTTAGAATACATAATTTGATATTCATTCTAATTGATTTTGAATGTTCTACAAGCACGCACATACATGTAGATTCAAAATGTCTGCGCCCTGGACGGCATCAAGTTGTCTCCGAGCGGAAAAGTTAGTGCTCTAGTTTTTATATATAACTCTGTGATCATAGGTAAAAGGCAACCCCACATGGACTTAACAACTGAAGTTACGTGACACTGCCTTCATCTGCAAACATTGGAGGTCACTGCTGATGTACAAACTGGGAAAGTAAAATGGGCTGAGCCGGGCGCAGTCCAATTCTATTTAACTTGTTTGCTTGGCATGATTCATTATCATGAAACTTTAATTTTGTTGAATGGAGGTTAAAACTAGGGAAATTTATTTGTTTAGCTTAAATAAAGTTAAATCATAAATGTTGTTTTGTCGTGGGCCTCGAGCAGGATGAAGAGAGAGTGCTTTTTTCTTAGCTCCTTTGGTCAGAACTGAACTTCGCTGGTTCATGAAAGACTAGAAAATGCGCATCATGGTCACTTTGCTACAACAAAATGAACACCTCCGAACAGCATGGCTCTTTTCAATCGATAAGGGGATGCTTCTGCTTGAGGTTGATAGGCGTAAGGCTTAAGAGTTTACGCGGTAGATCTTTTTGAACCAATTTCCAATTTGTATTTATTAGAAAAGCACCAAACATGCTCTTTGGCTTGTTTATAAAAATGGGAACTCTCTGGTAGACATTTTCCCTGATTTTTCATCTTGTTTCCTCATTGGATTGTCGAGACTTTGTGTTAACTGTTCAGATCGAGGCCTGGTGCAATTTTGGACTTTATTTCCTTTCTGAAACAGTTCTCCAAAGCCAATAATCAGGAAAATGAAATATTCTGCAATTAAATGTAGGGTTTTATTTATTTGGTTTAAAACAATGAAAAAATATTGAGCTTTATGGAGAAAGAAAAACTCAGACACAGTGGCTACGTGGCGCTATAGAATTGAAACAGGTGTGCCCGATGCAGAGTTCACAGTCGTTGCCAACTGGGTCACAATTATGCCCTGACTGTTGAAGAGAATTTAATGTCTATTAAATTATGGACTTGCAGGTACATGTACCAGCAGATGTACGCTTTAGGGTGCTGTGTAATGCTGCCAAGTATCTGGAAAAATTTGGTGCCGGTTCAGTTGCAAAACATACACTTTGTAGTTTGTACATTTGGGTAGATAAGGATGTTTCCCTCAGCTCAACATTTGCAATGTGTTTGCTTTTTCTTATGTTATAATGGAAAACCTATCTGCTGTGTTTTTGTGCCTTGTCAAATTGGTTGATGCGTGCTGTGAATAGTCAGATGCTGCATGTGATGAACTCTTCAAAGGACATGACTTTTTTGCAGCTTATGCTAAATCTTTTACCTGGTGAAGCTTGAGCGTTTATCTACGTAAAATGAATGCTAATTGCAAAGTGAAAAAAAATTGTGAATTATGTTCTATGACATCCAAATTTTCTCGACTCTAGTGACCAAAAACAGAATCCGACATTCCACACAGAAAATAGAATAAGTGACAACTTGAAATGAGAAATCATTGTAATTATATGCAATGCTGACTTACACTGCTAGCATGCCATGTTGCTTGAAATACATGTATCCTGACCTGAAACAGATCTCACATTTATTTCTCCTGGTTCCTTTGTTCAGAAACAAACAAACCCAACAAAACAAAGACTTGCCAACCAGACAAACTGCTGGTACTTCATGTTCATTCAACAAAATCTTTCCAACTGGTGACCCTCCCCCCAAATAGTCCAGATATAAGCTGTGTTCCCAGGCATTCAAGCAAAATTCTTTTAAAACCTCTTATTGTGACTATTGTAGTTCTTTGCAATTTTATGCAGATCTGAATAATATGGGTTTACAAACAGAATTGTCCATGTAATAATTTAATATTCGCAAGTGGCATTAAATTTTAGTTTTTCTTCTCCACAGCCCCAATCTATCCAATTTCCCCAGGACGATGGCTATTGACTGTCACATTGCCGCTTTTTCTTGCTGTCAGTGGCCTGCGAAAGAAGAACGTGACATCTGGAGGGGCTGTCTTAGGTACACAAACTCAGCTTAGCAGTTTGTTTTGATATTACATGTACCTAAGCAGATTTTTTTCCCAAGTGTATAATTTGGTTACTTGGAAGTTGAAGTACTTGTTACCCATTGAAGGAAGGTGACTCACAAATTTGCCAAAATCAACGAAAATTTGATACATAGGCAAAAGTGCTAACAAATTTACTATCTGTGTATCTTATTGATACACTGAGTGACTAATATTTGGAAAATAAATGTTATCTCATTTTTTCACTTTGCTTATATACATTCCCCCAAAATGTGTGAGTCATTTTCTTATATTGGTTCAATCATCTGTTTATTTTGGGTGTAGGTAAGACATACAGGTCCTTTCTTCTGTGTAGGTTACTTGTACTGAAAACTAATCCCAGATTTTATTTTCTATATTTTCCCAGTACCATGACTTTGAAGTATGTACATATATGTCTTGAGGTTTGTTACAGACAATACAAATCGACTTCAGTTGATTCACAATTTGATGCCACAAAAGACATCTCATTGGTTGCTTGTTAAGTATGAACTTGTCTGTGCTACAAAGTAATTTCATAATTAATACGTTTTTTCTACTGTTGCTGTTCACTATCTTTCTACAAACTCACATACATGTAAGCAGTCCTTTAGTGTATAATGCTTGTGTATAAATCCCAGTGGTCCTGTTGATCAGTGCTTTGAATTCTACTAACCAAGTTAGTTCTCCTCTGCAGCCTCACATGACTGAGCCTATTATTGAGATGAGTGTAAACCTGACAAAATTTCGTCTCTGCTTTCCCCTTTCTAGGTTACGTGGTGGGCTTCACCATGCTCATGGCTAGTTATTCCTTCTTTATGTCGCTCCTTGCATTCTTCTACACTGCTTCAAAAGCGACCAAATTCAAAGCAGAGATCAAGAAGAAAATTGAAGCTGACTACAAAGAAGGTACTGAGAGAACTTTTGCCACCTGTTGTTGTATTTCCCTTCCTGTAGTTACCCCCTTATCATGTACTGTACACCCTTGTCCCCTTTCAAGGCCAAGCTTTGAGAATTGTTTCATGTGTATCTTGGTTGTTTCCCAGTGGAAACGGTGAAGTGTTTACACTGAGGATAGGCAACATTCCCAGTGATACACTTCATGCATAGTAGCGTGCATTCACGGTGAGTACATTGTATGGAAACCGGGAACCCCATTAAAGTGGAGAAAAAAGGTACTTGCGTGCCCTCAAAAGAAGCCAACCCAAATTTAAAGGAGAGAGAATCAAGGTCTGGATCAGTACTGCCAATAAAATTCCATTGTTGGATGTTCAAGTGGCGGGGGGGAGGGAAACAGAACATGAAAATGCATTCAAAGTGCCAATTCCATGTTACTCAAAATGCTCATTAACAACCTTGGAAATATGTCTGCAATCTGATAGCAGTGGTTGGATACTTGGGGCCCCACTTTTGATGTCCAGCACTTTACATCATGTGTTCCGAGGGCTTTCGGTACTCCTTGATAAATGAGATGAATAAATGTTTACCACTCCTAAGGAGGGCAGCGTGACTGGCTGCAGGTCATCAGTAACGGTGGCATCCCCACCTCGCTGGCCATCATCTACCTGGTAGACAGTGGCTTCCGGGACCTGCCGCTGGACTTCCGCGCCCGCTACGACACCACCTGGACCTCCCTGGCCCTCATGAGTGCTTTTGCCTGTTGCTGTGGGGACACTTGGTCCTCGGAGATCGGCTCAGTCATGGGGTCCCGGACCCCTCGGCTAATCACCAACATGTCCAAGGTTCCAGTAGGTAGGTACCATCAGTGTCTGATGTCAAGTGACTTATCCCTTAACTCCTTGTCCCTCTCCTGCACCTCCCCCTCACTTCTTTCCAGTCCCAGTTTCTGGCTCCAGCATTGGAAATTAGTCAATTTTGTTGATGTCGATTTGTCAGCAGCAGACCGTAAATAGTACAAAGAAGTTCTCACCCAACCTTGCATTACAAATCACAGAATGTTAGTAAGTACATGTAAATTGTCATCATAGTCCGTTCCACTTTGCAGTTCAATTGCAAGATACCCAGTGGGGAGACAACATTTCAAGTGTCTCTCAAGAGTTGAATTTGAACCTCGGACTTGAGGAATACATTACTAAATGTTGGCAGCCTTGACAGTGGGGAGGGGAGTCTTGTCAAGGGGAGACAGTCAAATTTTGTTCATCAGAAGATGAGTTCTTGCTTTTTGTATTTCCCACTGGCTACTGTGACAGGAACCAACGGAGCAGTCTCATTTGTTGGCCTTCTGTCCAGCATTGTGGGTGGCTTCATGGTCGGCTGTGGTTTCTACATTGGCCTTCTCATCTCCTTCTCCAGTCCAGCGTTCAAAACAGCCACCCCTCAGTGGCCGGTGGTAGTGTTTGCAGCCATAGCCGGGTTGCTGGGCTCACTGATTGACTCCCTTCTAGGAGCTCTCTTCCAGTACTCAGGTGGGTTTCACAGAATCAGATATTTGTAATGGATTTTGGAACTGGAGTTGATAGAGGTTTGCCATAGAGTGATGCATTAGTCTATCAACCCTAATCAGACTTGTACACGTAGCTGATCCAAATCCATATTTTAACCGTTTCAGTAATTATCCTGTCAGTAATTGCTTGCTAGGTGAACCTCAAACCCAGAACTTCTTTTGTATACTGGTACAGGCATTATTATAAAATTAATGGAGACAGTCTACGGTGCTCTACCTACCCAAACAGGCAATACATAAGCAAATTTCCCATGCGCGTATTACTCATTCACTGAAAAGATTTGATCAGGCGTGGTGCACCCTGACCTCCCACAATGCAGCGGGGCCTCGTCGCCATGATTGTCCTTCTTTTCTCAGCACCTTCTCTTTATCTAGGGCCTTCAAGCAGAACGTCTTGGAGACAACTACTCTGTTGAACACAGTGGAACACTGTTACAATGGGGTCCTTGGAACTTTACAAATTCCTTATGTCATCAGTTATGGAAAATAAATACATTTTAAAAAAGGAAAGAAAGAAAAAGAAATCCCTTGTCAGAGATATGACCTTGTATTATCATTGCGCGTCCTATCTGTCTTCGATTATACATGTATTGTTAGAGTTCATCGGGCTTCCTCCTCAAATGAACATGAGCCACTGCCCCACTTTTCCAGGCGGCCGTTACATGCAAATGTGACCTAGCATCTGACATATCTGCAGCGTGGCCATCCAGACATAATCCATATGATAGCACTTTCCGGGCCAACTTCCCGGATCGTTGCCCTGGTGAATACGCCATCGGTACACAGACCCAATTCCAAGTCTCTGTCATGGCCTTCTGGAGCTACTCTCGCTGCCATCAGTAGGCCCGCCCAGGCCATGGGGAAACAAGTCCACGCCTTACTTGGTGATCTCTAATGACAGCCACAAGTCTAAATCTACCGGCATTCGAGACTACGTCACCGGGCACCAAGACAGGAACGTACAAATAACGTTTTCTAGGCAGTCTTCCTATCTTTTTCAGTTCTGTCATGGTGAATTTGTCATCATGACGCAGACCTACTGCTGCGTCTCTCCAGTCTGCATCCCCAGGCATCCAAGCCTAACGTTCGTCAAGCCGTTGGGATTTTTACACACCCCTTTGCACCCCGTAATCCAGGGTTTCCCCAAGGGGCCCTGCGGGAGAATCTATTTCCACTGCTCCTCACCACGTACAATCCTGTGATCAGCAGAATGGCCATTCTGTGGCCCCCACTTACGTGGCTCCACGTGAGCACAGATTCTGCCGTGCGGCCCTGCCGTAACGCACACTATTCAAACGCTGTTCGTTTCAAAGTGGGTATGTCCAAAATCTGTTTCCTGTGACTATTACGAGGTCTGTCAAAAGTAGGCCAGCTGTGAGTCACCTGTTTATTGTGATAGTGTTGTGGGCTTTCTCTTCCGATACTGCTTAGCATGATCAAAACGAAGAGAGAAAATTCTGTCAAATCGTGTTCGTTTCTGAAATGATTACTTTCTGTTGTTAGTTCTTAGCACGAATTTGGACATCGAAGTGGTTATTGTCCGCAGAGATCCTTTCCTTGAGTGGAAATTACTAGAAATTTCCTCCAATCAAGGTTAACATGTACTTGTACTAGAATGAGGACTCTTCTCGAAGTGAGTTGCTATGGACGCTCATTCTGTTATTCATATCGCGAACGTCATGCGGCCTGACTCTTCTACGCCGACCATTTATTTTTCATGCATGCATGAAAATGATCAAAGTTTTCTGATGAAGTCGGGGTGCCGGCGGCCACGCTGGGTACAGAACTCGGCTTACCTTCAATTTGACATGAACATCTTCAACTCCCTTCCGCATATTCAGGTATTATACACTGCCGCTAAAGACAACGTATGCATTTGACTTAGCAAGCCTTTTTGTAAGGAACTCCTTGCTCGATGAAGACTGACACCAACTTTATCTAGGTTACATGAAGTCTTTGTCTCGGTCTCTGACCTATTTCATTTCTTCCCCCTTATCGAGGTAAATTCCTTTGATGGCAAAGAAGAGTTCTCCTTTCTGCCCAGACCTCACTACAGTCATGCTAGAGGCTCTGAATGATAATGTCATCTCCGTCTTTGAGTATGTCTTGCGGCTTTCTTGCCTCTGTTTTTTCACACTGTCAACCAAGGCCACATTAACGGAAAGGACAAGGGATCAGCAGTTGACCTGCAGACAATCCACATGGCAGGGTCTGACAATGTAGTGGCAGACGCACTCCCCCTGGGATGATAAAGCAGCCTTACATCGATCTCTTCGCTTCCTTGATTTATGCTCAACTTCCCATGATCTTCCTCTCCGGCAGGACTTTCTGGCAATGCTACAGCCATGGCCCTCATCTGCCCACCTTTCAATTTTGTGGCAGCAAATTTTAGCATTTTGTTATGTGCGTTGATAGTCAGGCTTTGAATCCAGCTAACGCTCCTTTGAGTGCTATTATAGAATCTTGTATTAACAGTGCTCTCAAGGGTCGACTGTATCTACAACTCGTATCTACAGGTATACACGTTGCATACACGTTGGTTTCAAAATCGGTTCAACTGCCCTTAACAACATGACATTCCATCACCTTTTGTATGATATGCTTGTCTACTGTCCCCTTGTTGGGAAACTGGTCTGGCCATAAGACCTAGGCTAGGGTTTCTAGATGCTTTCCGGTCCTTCCTTTGAACCCTAAATAATGCCTACTTTATGCACACCCGTGTCAGGTTGGGCCCTCCTCCTGAAAATGGTTACCTCTTGAGGAGGTAGCAAACTATAGGCTCTCCCCATTGCTGAGGGCCATCTACGGTGGGAGCCACATGGTGTTCACCTCATTCCTTCAATTGGCTTCCTGACGAAGGATCAGACTCCCTCACCTGATCCGTCTGATATCTTTACACTCTCCACCTACTTACATCCTGGAGACGATACGGATAAAGTTTGGGGCCCTGTTCATGTCCTGAAGTGGTACCTGACTAAAATTATAGCATGGGAGGGACGATATTAACCCCGCCACTTTCATGAGACCACACCGTCCAGCGGTGTCAGTACACTATTGCCTGCTGGACGGCTTCGGCCATTAGATTTGCTAATCCAATCTAGCCATCAAGCTCTGATGAACATAGTCAACACTACATCAGGGTTCATGATGTCAGAGCAGTATCTGCATCTTGGTCTTACTCTTGAGATAGTTCCATTGTTCCAAAACGCCATGTTGGAAATCTCCTACCTCCTGCAACTTGAGGGATGTCCTGCAGAGCGACATCGCAAATGACAGGACAGTCCTACTGTCACAGCGCGGAGGTCAAAGGGACCTCCTGTAGGACGGATGATAAGTCATCATGAAGTTCTTTTTCACTTATTAAATTTATACATTCCTCCTTGTATATAATGTAAAATTGTATTCTCCGCATTAGATGTGTCGTTGCCAACCCCCCACCTAGACCGGTGCTACTCTGCATTTGTAGTGACTGTTTGGGTAGGTAGAGTGCCGTAGACTCCTTCCCCACATTAAGTGTGGGTCGGGTCTACTAGAGAATACCTACCCAAACAATCCTCTGCCTCCCGTCTTCCCCACTCTGGTTCCAACCTTTTAAGTCGCTTTCGAAAAGAAGGACGATCTTGGCGGCGAGGTAGCGCTGCATTTTGGGAGGTCAGAGTGCACCACGGATGATCAAATCTTTTCAGCGAATGAATAATAGGCACATGGGAAATTTGCATATGTAGTGACTGTTTTTGTAGGTATGCTCTAGTAGACCCGACCCACACGTAATGTAGGGAAGGATTTTCAGTGTTATGAGTCTAATTTGAATTGCACAGAGCAGCCATGTATGTAACAGTATTAATTTTTCAACAAGTGGTGAATCGGAGGAGCTGGCCACCAGTTTGGAGATGTAGGATCCTGATCAACACTACAAAATAACTAAACTGGACAGCAAAAGAAACTTGCCACTTCTGTCAAAGGCCACACATAAAAATTCACTCCATAGAAATAAGTATTAGAAAAGTATATATATAAGTATAGAAAATAGTATTTGTACCCAGGTACGGTATGCTGCAATACCTCTTACTAATCACATGCCCAAAAGCAAGTGATTATCTTTATAACAAAGAAGAAATTGACATGCACAGCAACTTGGTTACTGAATCAAAAGTCACAGAATGTAACAGAATGAGCCTTAAGTTTTACGTAGAAATCAGTGTCACGGGACAAAATGAAGAAGTCACAATCATCACTTTTCAATAATGTGTATGCATAGTCAGTAAGGATGGCATCCCTATACAGAAACCATTCATGCACATCACTTTGACAAAACAGGTGTTCACTTTGTCATTGAATGTTTAAAATGTTGTCCATTCATGGGTCATTTTTGCTTGGTGGAGAGTGCTTTTGTGTGTGACTTTTGATTCAGTAACCAAATTGCTGTGCATGTCAATTTCTTTGTTATAAAGATAATCACTTGCTTTTGGGCATGTGATTAGTAAGGGGTATTGCAGCATACCTGTGTATAAAAATTGTTTATTTCTATGGAGTGAATTTTATGTGTGGCCTTTGACAGAAGTGGCAAGTTTCTTTTGCCGTCCAGTGTATATGCAGCATCACAAATAGAAATATCTTAAATTTAATTAGTGCATTCTTCAAAATCTACCTCAATGTTTTGGGGGATCATGTAGGTTTGAGGAAACAGCAGCCCCAGTACTGCTTCTTTGCGTGGGGTTTGATATCCCTGAAAGTTAGACAAAAATGAGCTCTAGTCCTGTGATGAATTTTGAGGATTGAGGAAGGGTTGGTAGGAAAAAAGTCCCAGAAGTTGGCATCAGTGCACCACTTCAAGATTACAGTTGACCTGAATGTCACAGTCTGTGTCACTTTAATGCCACACAGCCTATGACCAGAGGACCCACCGCGTGGTGAGTGTAGCCTCTTCCACAACAGAGCACATATGTGGCTGGCCCATCCTGGACAACAATGCGGTCAACATGCTGTCCTCTCTGCTGACCTCCATGATCATGCCAGGGATCTGCTTTGCCTGGTGGCCCATACCTACCTAGGAGATGACTTCTACGAGTTCACCTGACAAGGAAGGAAAAAAAAAAAAGAATGCTTCGTACCACCAACAAATGGTCCTATCTGTACAACAGTATTATACTTGAATTGAGAAATGAGAGTGGTTGAGGGGAGAAAACCCTGGAGTTACGAGTAATTATAATGGGAAAATCAGATTTGGACACCAGAGTGACGGAATGCCTTGTAGACATGAATAGATTTTTTGCAGAGCTGTAACCCTCGG